TAAGGCTCCCACACTGACGCGCAGTATTAACCTATAAAGGGCACTGAACATGCTGTAACACATGAGAGGCATTAAACATCATGTTGTAATCTATGTTGAGCAATGCTTCAACATAGAGTTGGCTGGGAACATTCCATTTGTCAATCAAATCAACTATTTTTATTTTATGCATTGCTCACATGTGTTATTCACTACAATGCAGAGCCACAGCTATAAGAGCTAACAGTAAAGGGCAGTTATCAGAGCAGTTCTTTTATTTAGATGTGAATGTCTCTCCTGAAAAAGGTCATTCAATCAAAACTGTATATGTCTCAGTAGCTTAAAAATATAAATGAGGTCTTATGGTCCCACGTTTATCATCAAATTGTATCAGATTGTATCCGCTGACATTCAACCTTATCTAGCCCTTAACTCTAATCTTGCAGAGGGAACATAGGGCTCGGGAAATACAGAGCTGAAGGAACATGGGGCCTATTTTTCATGGAAGTGGGAACGTATGCAGGACCCTGATTGTCAAGATTGTCATGTTCCATAAACGCTCCATCTCTGTTCACCTCCAAAGCAGAAGTCTCTATGTGTTAGTTATGCAGTCTATGGTATTGGCACAATTATTGCAGCCTGTCATCATCAGTTGCCTGTTGCCAAAATAGCCCCCGCACAATGACTCATTCACCAAGTTCTGAAAGCTTCATTCATGCTCCTACTTACACGGGCAAGTACCCTCCACACCATAGACCGTGTATAATAAGACCTACAATCAACTATGAATTGAAAAATAGTTTTGTGTTGATTATTTTACTTAATGATGAGTATACATTTCAAAACCAAATTCGAATGTCTGCATACTTTCAAGCCATTTTATTGGAATTTAATAAAAACCAGCTCCACAAAGACCCCTCTCTTCACACACAAATGAAGAATGTTTGAACTCAAAACCTGCCATAACGATTTCATCAATGCATATTTCTTTATTTTCCTCCGTACAGGAATAAAGGCAAACAAATATGTCTGACTCTTGCACACAACAGTGGGCCCATGCATGGTAAAGAGCTTCTCCTCGGCATGCGGTGACCTTCCTGTTTGAATAGAGAGCGCAGATAGCAGCCTGCCATACATCACTGTCAGAACCCAGACTGCTGCAGCCACATCCAGGTAATCTATTTGTCCCGCGAAAATATGGTGTAATTTGTTCAGCTTTCTTGCAAGCACAGCAAAAAGGAAACAATTTGAACCGTGCCACATGCTTACGTGCTGCTCGGGATGGGAGAACCTCACAATAGGCTGCCCCAATTTATCTACAGGGCACGCCATTAATACGATAGTCCTCCTATGCATGGGTAATTTCAAGGCTCTCCCTCTGTATTTTGTGCATGCGTTGTCACAGTGGTGCTGCGAGCCAGACTCTCCGCTTTTCTATTGAGTTAAACATTTATGGCACAGCGAGAGTCGGCTAGTATTTCTATATTTCCACACCACTTGGATTCCATTCACTTCCGTTCCCATTATGTAAGCTTATGTAACCTCATTTTATCATTTGCTTTTAGATCATTCAAAAACAGGCCACATGCAGTTCTTTGGATGTATGTGATGTATGTGTTTTATCAAAATGAAGACAGATCTAGCTTACAGTTGTGCAAGGTCAACAGTGCATTAGGGGGGAAAAAAACCATTGTCTTTGCATAACAACCTCCCTAAGCCATACAAACACTCAGCATTTCTTCAGCTTAATGGCTTACAAAGAGACGCAAGGGAATGTGGAATTGCTTAAAATAAAACGATAAGAAAGTTTTACGGTCACTCACAGATTGAGTGATTGGATTTTGTGACATAACATTGTATTAAGTAAGGCACGCAAACAGCCAAAGTTTGGGCACCCCAGATCTCCATCAGACATGGAGTTACAGATCAGACACAAAAGGCCAGGCTTTATTTTTGTTGATTGCAATTCAAAAAGAAGATGAAAAAAAAGATCAGGGCTGGTCATGTCAACATTCTTTCGGTTGAGACATGACACTACAGCTCAGGTCCTGCTGGTTGTACTTCTGATCCACACATCCCTTAATCTGAGTGAATTTTTCTACCTTTTCAAAATGGACTTCCTGCCAGACCTTCATTTCAAACTCTTCCTTTATAGCTCTATAATCTAAGAGCCGGGCCACAATCTGCTCATGCAAAACGTTGGGTTCCTTATTTCTATTTTAGACAAGTCCATCTCCTCAGCCTCCTCCTTTTTCAAGTCCTCAATTCCCTTCTCAAAAGATGTTATGTCCTTTACTCTTTTACCTCACTTTCCTCTAGTTTTAACTCTGCCTTTCGTTTTATCACAGCCGACGGGTTCAAAACTCATCACTGTGCACTTGACGAAAATGTAGGCCGGAACTGAAAGCCGTTTAAAAGTAAGAATCAGCGAAAATCCCTCAATCTAAAACTAAAAGTATAAAAAAATAAAAATGATACAAGATTATTTTTGAGACGTTATGGCAATGTGTGAGCAGTAAAATCCTTTGTGAATCATTCAAATGAACAGAAACTTTGATGTGGGGTGCCCAAACTTTCGCGCCCCACTGTCGCTGACCGTGCTGTATCACTGAGCTTGCTCCATCGCAGCAGTTTTGGACAGGTTTTCAAAACAAATCAATCAGTGTCAATTAGAGGCATACTTTCAAAGGAAGCCACATCCTGGGAGAGCCGGGCCCTCCTTATGCACTCAACAGCAGGCCAGGCAATTATCGAGCAAACAGAGTAAAGTGCCCAGGGTCTGAACAGAAGAGAGAAACACTGGCTCTTATCTACAGCTATTTCCAAAAAGGTGCTCGAGAGCCCAGACGTCCGCTGAGTTCAAACAGCACTTTTATACCCAACTTAGATATTCCACTCTATAAGAACACTCTCCACCTGGTTTCTTTTGTTGTCCACAGGCATCTACCCCCGTGGCTGCGTCCCTTATGGCTGCACTTATTGATTCCTGAAGCAGAGACTGAACAGGCACTTCCTGCGGGGAGGTGAGAATGCTAGACTGTTATGAAAGCGGAGTCGTGGGAGCATAATCACATTGGAGAGAAATGCTGCTCACCCACATCACCGTCATGGCTCTAAATAAGGACTGTATTTGAAATGTAAAGGCTTGAAACTTAGACATTGTGACTGTGTGCAAATATCAACACCGACTCTCTTCCCCTGTTCAAATCCAGACTCAAAACTCACCTTTTCAGACTTTCTTTCCCCACATGTCACCCCAAAACCTTGATTAATTGCACTGTTTTTGACCATGCTTGTACAGTGTCCTTGGATGTTTTGAAAGGAGCTTCTAAATAAAATGTATTATTGTTATTATCATGATAATTTCTTTTCAAACATCATATCCCATTCTTTTTAAGTTGTTATTCTGTAGTTAATCATTGCTCTGGTGTTAGAACAATGGGTGTCTCTGCGGGGGTTATGGTCTGTAAACATGTGGAAGTGCTTGAAACTCATTACGGATGAGCAAATCCCAATCCTGGTATCGGATATCGTCTCTGTCGCATAAAAACTTTGCTGGTTTGAATGTTGGCTCCAAACACAGCGACAGGCAATGTAGAATATATATATTTTATATCATTATTTCTCAGTTGAGCGAAAAAGCAAAGAAGCTTTTAAATTGCGCTTAGGGTGACATTGATCTGTAAAATGCGCAATATAAATAAACATTACTTAAATTACTTACTTACTTAATGTCCTTTGCTCGCCCAGAACAGCACTCAGTTTTCCATGATGCCAGACAACGGAACCATTTGTATAGTATCTGCTCATTTTGGTATTGATAGTATTTTAAATCTGAATCAGCCAAAAACTAAATCTGAAAAATCTGGATCTAACTGCAGCCAACAGAGATTATATTTCATAGAAAGCAGACTAGAGATGAATGATATGAAATAACTTTGAGTTTAGTGGAAAAAAAAGATTATCATAATACAAAAGAATGATTTTTTTATTGGAACGCGACTGTAATTTTAGTAAGTAAGTTTTATTTTGTGGCTTTTTCAATATTTTTATAATGAATGTCCAAGAAGTGCCCAGAAAGGTTCCTTATAAAATAAAATGTATTATTATTGTTATCGATAAGATAACAATATCGCTTTCATCCCTAAATGTAAGAATGGCTTTAGAATATCACTGGATCATAATCTTTTAATGATGCCAGTTCACAATATTTATGTTTAATAATTATCTATCCATGTCCTTTCAGGGCTTTTTATTTCATTTTCCTCTAAAGAAGGTGGAGAATTCTCACGGTTGCGTCAACAGCGGTGATCTCATAGTTTTTGCGCGTTTGCTGCTGGGTCGCCTTTTGTGCGTCTGGCTCTTTGTGCGCGCTGCAGTTTCTGTGGTAACATGATTTTGAAAATAGCTTGTGCCCACTCTAACGGCCCACTGTTCAAGTTCTCCAGGCTGCAACCCACTCCTCTTGACTCATTCATTGCTCATTATCATCCCACCCTTTATTACACCCCCCTCCTCTCTCTGTATATCTGATGGGGACAGAGCTGGCAGTGTGGTGGTCGCGGTGGGGGCGGGGTGGCGGTTACTATAAAGCCGCTGGTTCTGTGACGTGATTGGCTGGTGGGACGTGTTTAATCCTCCCGACTCCTCCCCCCTCCCTCTCATGACAGCATCCACACACACATAGGGCTGAGTGTTCCAGCAGGAATATCAGCACTGCACAGGGAGGAGAGGATTAGCCAAGAGCCAGCTCATCTGCATATGTACTGTAGCATCTAGGACTGCTTTTTTCTTTTGAAACCTGGCGTTGTCATCTCCCAGATCTAACTGCTTCTACTTTCTCATCACTGAACGGATATAACGGACCATACCACTGATTTTGCTTTTCTGTCATTTTTTTTAAACATCTACCATGTCTTGTCACGCTGGAACTGGCAGCATCTGAACACTAAGCAGTTTTGTTGTGAATTGCTGGACTTTTCCCCCTCCTCCTACTTTCACTTTGTTTCCTCGGCAACAAGATGCCATCCAAGGAGTCATACGAGGAGAATTCCCTTGTGCAAAAGGCCAATCGGGAGGCCAATCAGGAGGACATGTTGGCCGCAGCTCTGGGGATGAGAGTGGGGCCACAGAAACCTCCAGCGGCTTTCTGGCAACCACTGAAACTGTTTGCCTATTCCCAGCTCACATCGCTGGTGCGCCGAGCCACGCTGAAGGAGAGCACGCCCAGGGCAGAGAAGATCCATAACTTTAAGGTGAGTTTGAACCCGGCTTACGGCTCTAAGTCAAGTGTTTCATCATGTTTGGCCTGAGGGCTCTCTGTGTTGTGGGAGGAGAGGGAACAGAGTGTCTTCAGAGGGGGTTCATCAAAGGGAAATGTGTTGGTGGTCTGTGTACTTCTGTGGGTTTCTTTGGTCCGGCCTGGTTCATTTGAGCAGCAGATGGGCAGATTAGGCGCATAGAGAGGGGAACAGTGGATCAGTCTATCCCAGTTTGGCTCAGGCGACTGGTTTCACTGGGAGGAGAGGAAGACAACATTACATCATGAGTATAATGGAGCTTTTTCTTCATCACTAGAATTTTATGTGGACTAGCCTAAATCTGTTATTGCATATGTGTACTAGCTGTCTGCTTGTCTACTACTCTTGATTACACATTATGTTTGCCATGAAAGTTAAGGATCTTCAGACCTTTTAACTTATTGAGACATATCATAAAAATAGGGATGTAATTGTTGGGATCGTGTTTTCTGTTATTCTATAGAAAGCCACTATCATGTGTGTCTATGTCTATGTCCTTGGCTTGATTCTTCTTACACAAAAGAATCAAGTACCAAAACACACTCAACATCACAAAACAACATATGACGAGATTATGGCTGCTCGCGATAACAACAAACACACAGCCTTCCTCCCTTGGCACAAATCAGGAAGCTGCGTGTCACCCCCTGGATGTCAGCGCCCGCTCTGATTGGCCGGGCTGTTGTTACCTGCTTCCACATGGGGGTTTTCTCTCGACCCTCCGGTGTTTCCAAATGCAGATTATCCTCCTGACGCTCACACCTTCTCTGCGGTGAGGTGTCAAAGCTGCCTGTGCCACGATGCCAAGGGCTGCTCTGCCCCCGGGTCTGGAGTGTCACAACAACAAGGCTTCTCCTTCGCCATATTTTTCTCATGGCAACAACGATAGGGGTCTGGCACTGTCCAAAAACCACAAAGCATCTGCTGCCCGCCTGGCTCTGTCATTTCTATTGCCATTAAAGGGCTCTGTGGGAGAGCTTTAGTGTGGAGACAATAGCGTTTGTCTCGATACTAAAATTACAGACTCGATTCTGATCTTGTGAAATTGTCTTGATCATTTAAAAACTGACATGTTTTTAGTCAATGAGTAACAATTTGTAACTTTAACAACAATTCAATATTAGAGTACTTTTATGTTACCAAAAGAGTTCATACTAGCTTTTGTCTACAACATTTTCACAAACTGCTCAGAGAATCTCACATTTTGCCCTGTTTATGCGATTTTTCCCCCCAGTATTGATAGTTTCTCAAATGGTCGAGTATCATGATAATCTAGTTTTGATACTAGTCTTGTTTCATTTCAGATTTTACAATACTTTTCATAAACCAACAAGGCAACCACAATCCATGGCCTTCGTTAAAAATACAGCCATTGCCTCATATCATGAAGAAATATCCAAACTACAATGAAATCCAAAATGTTTATCAAATCTTTCAAAACAGAATTCACATTTTCAGACTCATGACCCAAATAACTCTTCTATAAGCTCTTTCTTACATCAGCCCAACTCATCACAACTCTTTGACCTTTTTGAGGACACTAATGTTTTTCATTGTGTCCTAACAACAGCCACAGTCATATAATAGCTTTACAACATGTCTGATTAGCAGATGGTGAGTTTGAAAAGGTCACAGAGGGACCGAGGATGGAGATATTAATTTTTCATGACAGAGTGGATAGCTGCGTGGCTCCAACAATGTTAAAGAATTCTGCTGATGCAAGATGGCGGCATGCTGTCTGTAAATATGACCAGAACAGCAGGAGAACCCAAGTCAGGGCAGATGATAGGAGCATTGAGAACCAGCTGTATAATTAGCAAATGTTATTCTTGGTTAGTCGTGATTTGTGATTTTTTTCAGCTTGTATGAAAGTCTAACCTGTTCTCCTTTGTTGTAGGTTCACACATTTCGGGGGCCACACTGGTGCGAACACTGTGCCAACTTCATGTGGGGGCTAATGGCGCAGGGAGTCAAATGTTCAGGTTTGTTCTATGCACACAACATAGACTGTAGCACACACACACACACACACACACACATTTTCTGTTCTTAGCATTTTCCAAGTGAGCATTTATTTATGTAGGTTACTTGGTTTTTAGTGCATCTGGTGCTGGATTAAGAGCTTTAGCATTAACCGACTCCCCCCAGCAGCCCATTGCCAGATTAGTTGTATAACACAATGAAATAAAGGCTGGGATTGAGTGATGTAATGCAAAGTTAAGATTATGTCAAAACCATTGCCCTAGTATGTTTTTTTTTTCCTTCTTTTTTTTTCTCCCATTCACACCCGAGGCAAAGTTCTTATTGTTCAAATACACAAAGCAGCTTTCAATCATCCTTTAACCAATAAGGTGCACCACATTTTTGTGTTTCTGATCTTAATGCTTTGCTTTCAAATCAGCTGAAAGTTGCTTGTTTTTTTATTCCCAAACACACACACACACACTCAACAAGAAGTGTTGGTGATGCCAGCTTCATCTGTGTACTGTCACTATATTTACTGTATATACTAAAACCAAATGATAGAAAGACAAAGCAATGAACCTTTTTAGTTTTTCTACATAATTCCAGTGGCATCACATCATGTTATGGAGAACTATTATTAAAATGTTAGGGGTTTTTGGCTTCCCACTCAATAGTATGACATCTTCACATTCTAGACATCCCATATTTGTAACATAATGGTGACAGTGTTGTGTGGAATACTGAAGGGATACATCCATGGAAACTCTGATATTAGTAGAAAGGCTTGTTGCCATGGAATCTTCTCTTTTTGCCCTATTTAAAGAAGATGCTATTTCTGTGCCAAACATATCTACATGTCTAGAGAATGCGCAGTCACTCGCTCAACAAGCCTCTATTGTGGACAAAGAACGCAGTGTGAGAATCTTCAGTCTATCTGTGGTTACTCTCCCATCAATGAACCGTGTTACAATCCGGCACAATCCATGTCGGCCATGTTTAATAGATGAAACAAAGTGTGCCACACGGCTTTAGCATTAAATATTGATGTCATGTTTTTAAAGCTATAAAACCCAACAACAATACCACTCCAACCACATATGTTCCCATTTCCCAACTTCCATTTCCATTCCATCACAGTATCAGTATCTAGGACAACCCAGTTTCACATGATGTACGAATTAGCATACCAAAAAATGGGCTCAACCCCCTTTTTGTGTGTGAATGTGCTAAGTGTGTTTGGCCCAGTGCCACAGAGGCAGCTTCAGCTTCTGCTTCTGCCTCTGGTTGTGGTTGTGGTTGTTGTGCCACATTTGCTCGTCAGTATAGTAGTGCGTATAGACCCCCCCCTCATCCTCCGGTCTCATCCCCTCACACGGTCATGAAGGAAAACAAAGCTGGCATGTCTGTTTAATGAGGACTGCGAGCTCTGTTTCCACACATTAAAATTCACCAGCTTCAGCCCCACAGCGAGGTCAGGCCATTCAGGCACCAATTTCAACATCTCATGGCTGGGAAACAAAAAATGAGGATAATGAAGTGGCACAATTATTATGAAATCAAATTGCTGGAACAGTTTTGTTGGTCTCTTATTCTCATCGAAAAGACACCATATTTTGTTTATATAGAAAGTGTAGATGAAAAAACTAGTTTAATTGACCCTAATTAACCTTAACTCAATTTTTTCACAAATTAGCAATTTCCTGTTATTTACAATGGCTACAAAAAGAGTTCTGATTCTTATTGAAAATTAATACGTTACCGATTCCAGAAAAAAATGAATAATATAAAAACAAAGGCTTATTGGTTGTATAGGTAATGTGGAACTAAACATCAAACGTTCTCTCCATTTTCAAATTTATCTTGTTTAGAAACCAAACTATTTTATATCTGGATTGCTTACAAAAAGGATTGGCTGTTTAAAATATACAAATCAGCTGTGGATGATAACAATCTCATCCACAGTTGAGAAAATGAATTTCCCTCGGGATAACATTAGTATTTCTATCTATGTCTGTGTCTAAAGAAATCTTCAAGATACTAAAAATTTAAAATCAAAACAAGTAAACCCGGTGCATCATCCTTGCCATAAAAACCCAGACAGAGTTGACGGTGCGGTAAACCTCCTCCTCACTCTTCTGGATCCAAGGTCCCAGGGGCCACAGTCTCACCCTCACCCTCACCCTCCCCACATGGGACCCCCGCCCTCACTGTGAATGCATCTACTGATAACGGAGCCGTCCTATTCTCTGCCTGTCTCATGCACTTGTGAGAATCATCTCTTAAAGTAATTACATTTTTGCCCCAATGCATATCAATGTGTTCTGCGCGCGGTCCTCATGGGAGACATATTAATCAAAATGTTTTCTGCATCGCTCCAAAAATCAAGCTTACGCCACATCTTTGAGAACCTACAATGATATTTTGTACTATGATGTGTTTGAAGTATGAAAACGGCTTGTCATTCATCAAAAGGCCAACTTAGAAAAGCCTCAAAAGATGTGAGCGTTTGCAGCGCGGCCTCATTTCAGCGTGAAAGTAGGTCTGGTGTAGCCCGCAGTGCTTGAATTGCTGCTTCCTCAGCCTTTGTGCCGGCGCTGGGATTTGGAAGAGAATGGAGCGAGCAGTGTTCAGTGTCCCTCCTACAGGCCAGCCGCTCCAGCTAATACCTCTCTCTCTCTCTTATTGATGTAAAGTCTACTTCTTCCGCTCCTGCCATAGAGAGAAGGTGAATCATGGTCTTATAGCGCGCTGCTTGTGGACCCACGGGCTGTGACTAAAGACTAGACTCACTGAAGGATACTCACACAGTAATGTACCATTTGAGCACCCACTGGGCTGCTTTCACAGACACTAAACAGCATTCATAATGGCACAATTCAGTCCATTTCTTTGTTTCCTGCTTGTTTTTCCCCACTCGATGAATAAATAAACGTTTGAATCCAGAAATGGCCGGTTTTATCCGGTGTACAAGGACACTTCAATGTCCCCCTTTGGCAGCAAGACAAGCGCTCTCCAGTGGTTCTCTGACATTGAAAGGGCAAATATTGATCAAGGGGATTAACGGCGATCTGTTAGCCAATGAGTTTAAAGGGCCAGCCTTAGAACAATTAACCCGTGCGGTGCAAATGTGTGGAGTGAGCGCTTTAACTCCGTTTTATTAAATGTCCACAACACAAAATTCAATTACTGGGAGAAATTCAATTTTGCTGTAGAGCTGCGCATATATAGTGTGATTTTCCCTGCTGGTCCTGGATGAAGGCAATTGTATTTTGTTATATTAATATTCTACTCTCTTTTCTTATTTTTTTTTTGCAGATTGTGGTTTAAATGTCCATAAACAGTGCGCTCCTCTGGTCCCCAACGACTGTAAGCCCAGTCTGAGACACATCCGCAAAGTCTACAGCTGCGACCTGACCACGCTGGTCAACGCCTACAACACGGCCAGGCCCATGGTGGTCGACATGTGCATCCGAGAGATCGAGTCCAGAGGTCAGTGTGGGACAGGGGTCACACTTATGCCATCAAGTCAGGACCAATATGATTTTAATATACATTTATAATGCAAAAGGTTGTATTTTCTACAAAGTATTACTTCGTAAGCACTGAATGATATAAAAAAGCTATGAACAAAATTATTATAAACAAAATAACTTGACTGCAAAGGTTGATTTAGATTTTATGTTAGTAATAAGAGACATTATTGCCCTCTTAAATCAAGGTTTGTTTGTTTGTTTTTAATGAATTTTGATTATTGTCTTTTTAATTATATTTATATTCAATACAACAATAACACAAAGACACACACACAGGTCCAGATAAGATACATTATATAAAAAAATTGAATAGAAATAGGAAAAAAAAAGTAATTAAGAAGTTGCCTTTAAATTCCACCTTGTAGCCACCCTCTTTTTTTTTTTTTTTTAGCAAAAAGTAACATCAAAAAGTATTTTTGTCTTTATAGTGTAGTGGAGTGGATGCATAGTCAAAAAATGTTGCCCAGGAAATGCCCACAACAAACTAAATGATCCCACTGGGTTAGGACACATGTTCTTTTTAACATACAGAGGAAATGAAAACACTTTCATAAGCTGTTGGTAATTCATTTATTTAGATAAACTAATTAATCAAAATTGGACCTAAATGATGGTAAAGATAATGTCTAGCTGTGGTGCCCAGACTTCCAGCTGAATGATACATGATTTGAGAAAATGCTTCTATCTTCTTTAAAAACCACGTTTGACCTCACAAAGCTGCACAACATTCTCAAATTTAAACCACCGTTATCTTTAAATCACACCATTACCAAAGAAAATACACCGTAACCAATCATCAGAATGCAGAACCAGCAGTACATACACCACACCTTGTGAATCCACCAAACGAAACGCACATCAAATCTAATTGTGTTAACTGGGCATGAGCTGTATTTGTGGTGAATATAAAAGCACCACACTTTAGTTTTATCACCGACAGAATACAAAGATGACATTACTCATGCTGTTAATGTTTCAGGGCACTCAGACAACTGATGAGAATGTTGGTGGAATCCATTAGTCTGTTTCCGAGTGCCTCTCAGTTAAATCACTGTGCGACAGAGGAAACTGCCTCATTGTCTGCCTGCTAGCACACATCTGGAGCTAACTTTGATTTATGTCTTTATTATTTTGCCCAGTGGCGTGGAAATCTATTAGCATCTACCCGTTTTTTGTGTGGCCATTTTGGTTTTAATTTCTAATGCATATTCAAGAGTGCTTACAGGAGGCTTTTAGATTACCCAGGGCGACGGGAGAAGGCGCATTTTTCTGCATTTGCTTTGACAGCCGTGACAGCGTTTAACTATTGTTTTTGTGTGTATTTTTCCCACAGGGCTAAAGTCTGAAGGGCTTTATAGAATATCAGGATTCACTGATTCGGTTGAAGAGGTCAAGTCTTCGTTTGATAAAGGTTTGTATTCGTCAAGATTCTGTTGTTTTTGTCTTTGGCATCAGCTGTAATCCTCAGTAGTTACACAACACTAATGTCTACTCTTCTTCAAAGTTTGATGTTTGGTTAGAAATATATAAGAAAAGTTGGAAAACTATTAATAGTAGTAGTAATAGTGGTAATTTGTACAAAAGACAAAAAATGACAAAAAACAGAATACATACAAAATAAACCAAAATATGCAGTTTGAAAACAGTTTAGAAGAAGCAGACCCCTATTTGGTTCACACACACATGTATACACACACACGCACGCACACGTATGTACACACACGTACACACACTCACACACACACACACACACACACACACAGGCCCAAACACTATTTTAATCGTGTGTTACTAGCCACCACTTGTGGAAGCTAATAGGACCCAAACAAATGAATAAATGTGGAATATGTTAGATAAGTAATGGGAGAGCTCCTCCTTCAGTTCCATTACTGTTGAGAGGCAGAATGATTGCTGGGTGCTGTCGTCACTTTGCTTGATGACTGACACAGCACAAGTACATTTGCTTACATGAGATTTCCCATTAATGTCAAAGTGACGTGTAAGAGAAGGATTAGTGTCCATCTGCTGCCATGTATTCTTCCAGATCAATCCAGTGTGGACTCGGGGGTCACACACAGCAGCCTGTCTTAGCTGTAGATTGAATAAGTATCTGGGGATTCAGCAGTGGGCAGTTTGAGGAGGCTGTCTTTCTTGGCCGAGAGCGATGTGAATTTGAACTGCGCTGGGCTAAACTCTGAGCCAGATCGGCGTGTGGGAGATCATCCATGACAGAGTGTCATTCCAGCTCACAGCCCTGTGCTGTTCAGTCTGCCTGCACAAGTAGGCCACAGCTCTCAAACGCATGCTTAACTCTCCAAGTCCAACCGAGGGGTGAGGCCAATGATACGCAGCAAGAGTTTTTATACTGGTGGTCAGGTTTCCAAAGTAGTAAAGTGCTGAGATGGCCTTTTCTGTGTAAAAACTTGTGTTTCGTGTCTGCAGATGGTGAGAAGACAGACATCTCAGCGAAAGCCTATGAAGACATCAACATCATCACAGGAGCGCTCAAGATGTACCTGCGGGAGCTGCCCGTGCCCGTCATCTCATACGACGCCTACCCCCGCTTTATTGAGGCTGCAAGTAAGAGCCACTGCTAGTTACAGTAACTACTGAGAGAACACATGCAATTATAATTTTAAATTAAGAATCAGAATTATTCATAATAATAATTATTATTATTATTGCAATTGTAAGTAACAGGAAGTCACAAACAACACATTTGCTTTGGATCAAGGTGCAAACAAGTTGTAGAAGTAAAGATAGATGTAAGACTTCATGCTGTTGTAAATTCTTACTGACAAATATTTTAGACTATCTTACCATGAAACTGTCATTTTAAACATACTTTGTCAGATTCAGTATTAGGCGCCTAATTTGCAGAATTATTCTCTCTGAAAACAGCGACCTGGCTTCCATACTTGTCCTTGCATTTTTCTCAAAGTTTCCACCTTTTGTCTGCTTTTCACCAAATTTCTTTTTTTCCTCCATTAATATTTTAAGTAAGTGTTATGAATTTTTGGTCTCACTGGAGCAAAAGCGAAATCATTGTGAAATAAATATTTAATTATAAATACAATAAAACTAAAAAGTGCTCTTAGTGCAATTAGTCTATTATATTTTTCTGTTTTTCATCAAATTTCGCAGCATTCTCCTAATTGCATCATGTGCCGCCGACTAGCTAAACCGCCTCAGGTCTTTGTTGTTTTACCACTGAGAGCTTTTTTACACTGAGCCCCCCTTCTCCCAGTCTAATGGCCTTTATTAGCACAGAGGAAATCCGTGCAATGCTGATTTTATCTCGTCTCTTTTCTGGACTATTGAATAACAATGTTACTGTGATCTTTGCAGAGCTCTCAGACCCAGAGAAGAAGCTGGAGGCGTTTCGAGAGGCGCTGGCTCTGCTGCCCGAGTCCCACACTGAGACACTCAAGTACCTCATGGCGCACTTAAAAAGGTCAGCCCCCTCCTGATACTATACTATGTGTATAATTATCATTCACACAACTAGATAAGCACTCGTAGAGTACAGATCTCTGCCGAGAGCAGGTTGTTTCCATTCCTGAATCCAGCCGATGATACAGATGACCTTCAAAGTTCCTAGTTCCATTTCTGAGAATTACAAAACATTTAGTAAAAATTCTATTGGTACTTTTTCATTATTGCTTATTAATTGTCAAAACTCAATGAAAACATTACCCACCAGCGGAGGTACACGTACTCATTTATAAATATTACTGTTAAATTCTGGCAGCAGTCGTTTCTAGGTTTAGTTTTATAAATGACTATATTGTTGTCTTGTGTGTTGTTTAACAGTTAAAATCATTGCATATTTTATAATTCTACTTTGTATGTGTCCTACAGTGTTCTGTGTCCAGTTACTTATAAGTCACATTAACCACCAACATTCATTATATATGATTTATGATATAATATACTTTAAACTACATTTATTATTCCAAGAAGAAAAATAAAACTGTTTATGCAGAGAATGGTTGTCATTTTAAGTAAAGCAAAAACATTTTATGTTAAAAGATGTTTATGGTTTTTGTAGAGAAAGTTAGTTGATTCGTAGCACATTGTGTTGCCTTTACTTAATAAATAAAATGTGATTGATTGAATCATTACTTTGAAATGTTCTTTCAGGGTGGCACAGAATGAGAAGTTTAACCTGATGAATGCAGAGAACCTGGGCATTGTGTTTGGGCCCACTCTGATGCACGCTCCCAACCAGGACGCCATGACTGCACTCAACGACATCCGCTACCAGAGACAAGTGGTGGAGGTGCTGATCAAGAATGAACACGTGCTCTTCTGAAGCAGCGACAGGAACCCGCCAGAATCTGTGTGCAAACTGGAATCACACTTTGAAGGACACTTTTAACCCTTCTCACTCTGGGTTTGAACCTTGTACTTATGCAGGTAGTTTCCCCACTTTTGTCGGGGCTGATAGGCAGCATGCAGCGAGCACGGGCTTCTCTTGTGTTGCTTTGTAGTCAGCATGTCCTCTGACATTTCATTTCTCTTCTGTCGTAGTTCTGTTCTAGCCCAAACCTGTAAAAACTCAATAAGCTACTGATTTTTGCACTGTACTTTTACAATGCTGTATTTTTGTACCTCTTATACCGTTTTTATGTAACTGTTTCTATCTCTCCGCTTCTGCCATAGTGTTCACACTGATGCTTTTGCCTGACATTTCTAATGTGCTATATGCAACGCCATACTTTGTACGTATAATTTGGACTGTACATTTTGTAAACATGCATGATCACTTTAATTTATTAATGTAAACATTGTTCTGAACAATGAACCTACCATGATGAACATGAACATTAAAATCAACCGATAAAACTGTTGTTTCAAAAACCTCTCGTATAAAAACCACATGTTAAACCTACAGTACATCAGCATTATGGTTCAAAGCCAATGTAAAGATATCGTTTAAAAAGTACAAGAATAAATGTTATGTTTTCCGGCTGAAGCAACATACTCTGCAAGTCAGCAAGGCTCTTTTTACAGGTCTGATGTATAAGAAAATACACATCAGACCTGTTTATGAAAGGATAAGAATACATAAGAAAAGAGAGAGCGTGTATTCCTCATAAATAATGTAATTAGGGTTAGGGTTAGCTAACAGCCTGATGCTGCAGATAGGAGACATGTTGTGATGGAGCAGAGCCGTCACACTGATTCACGAGAGTAAAAACACCTCAGGCCCCTCTGTCAGGTTGAGCTTAATTACTGCTGTAGGACCAGTTGTGTCACGTGGATGTACCCTTCATATGCATAATTACCCACAGGTTATAATATCTCAAGCAACAAGCCATTTCCAAGAAGCACTAAGGGGGTAGTTTCCTCACGAACTCACTATTCAAGAATTGTACATATACAAGACTGTTTCCTTTCTACAATTATTCTGTTGACTCTAATGAGGGATGACATTTCACTCAAAAAACCCAATGCGTTATACCATGAAAAGTCTGAAACCGTATAAGCCATAATAATTCAAATTCTTATAGATTCCAGCATTGTATTTTCTGGTTCGAACTTGAACAGGTTGCAGTGAATAAATGCATGTTTTGAGCTGCTATTAATCTTCCCGTCTACATTATGGTTGGAAATCTCGACACAAAAGTGACGCTGTCCCACACTGACACATAATCACTGGGGTTTTGTGGCCGCATCACGTCCACTTAATGTGCACCAAACTCAGCCAGACTGATTGTCTGGTGAAATTGGATTTTCACCCAAGCGGTTACAGCCTCCGCTCACTATCACAGGCCATTTTAAATACATCATACCTTCATCTGCATGAGTGAGTGGGGGTGAAGGACACCAATAATGTCTATACACCAGACTTTTTATACACCCAAACGCACTCATATGGCCCTCCATGTGGTGCAGCGTTCGGAGGTGGATGGACCTGGTTCGCTGTAATAAACCAGATTTGAAATCTCATGATCCTTATGATTACTGACCCTTCTGTTACGACAGATGCAAATGTTTGCGTCAAAATAAGTTTGGATAAAATATGACATTACCATATTGAGTAGAACAATAACAGTGTTTCAGAGTCGTCAATTGGTCTGATAATGTATTTGAATGCCTTATTTTCTTTTATTTATGAATGATTGCTGACATTCCATTCTAAAACAACATTATTTAGCCTTAAACTATACTGTAGATAATGTTGTATTGTTAAACAGCTGTTAAAAATCTTTAGGTCTATGATATATTCATTTTGGGACATTTATTTTCTAAAACAGACCAGCCTTGTAGAGACAAAGCGGGGCACGGTGCCTGACTCCAGAATACTATCTCAATGCCTCATTCAAAGTGATCTTATTCTACAGTTACATTCAGTACAATAAATAGGCCACATTTGATATAATCCTTCTCATCTGAATTGAATCTTGAGCATTCTGTATAACATCTCCATCCCCCCAGATGCTCACACCCACTGCACATTTAATCGCTTATGAAGCAAATACCACCAACCGACCCCACAAAAAATTTCTCCGGGGACCTCAATTCTCACATGTGGCCTGCAACCCCCCACGGCAGGTCCGAGAGTGACCATTCTGACGCGGGACCACTGGGCAGGGGGGCATTCAGGTGGCCCGGCTGACAGTGGGCGGTTAAGACAAATCCTTCTTAATTTGGACATTGCCAAAACGGTCATTTGAGCCTAAGTGAGATGAATGGGAGAGCGCTTGAGTGACTGGCTGATGGAACGCACAGGGGATGTGAGGAAATTGAGTTGCCTGACCCATCACGAGCCACATCTACGGAAGGGAGTGGGGCACAACATCTGGTCTCCAATGAGCCACTGTCGCACACACACAATATACAAAGGTGTCGGGAATTCAGATGAAATTGAGGACGCTACATTTGTTTAATTAATTGCACAATGAATTAACTAGAATGTAATGTTCATATGATATTGACTACGGGAAAAAAATGGTACCAATCAGGAAGAATGAACTACTTTTTAAGCACAATTTATGTTTTTGGCAATCAGGAAGTGCAATGAATGCGACTCCAGATTTGGCGTCTGATTTGGCCTCTTACTTTAATTACAAGTGGGAACAACTTCTGCTCTGAGAATATCAAACTTCAAAGTTGCTTATTTGGTTTTGGTAAATATGAAATAGGGTATGTCTGGTGTCTGGGACTTGGGTGAAAAACCAATGTAGGGCCCTGTAATAAATCTAAAAAGGGCAATCCTGATGACACTAGGGCGTCTATCAGGAGCAATGGTCACCGTAGTACAGCACCCGGGGGCCCATGTCCAGATGTTGATGCTTGGCTTAATGGAAGATTTGGGATGGGAAACCGGAGCACCAGGAGGAAACACGGGGAGAACATTGTAGCGAATGGGATCTGAAACCAGGACCTTCTTGCCTTTAACAGGTTTGTTGATTAACTTGTTTCAGCCCTTTAGAGGACACCCTTAACATGCAGTTATATAAGTATTTGTATGTTCCAGTAAAAGGGTATTATTGGATCTGTGTAACGGCCTGAGCAGCTGTCAGTCTGCACCAGTCTGCACCAGTCTGCACCAGTCTGCACCAGTCTGCAGCAGTCTGCAGCCTCATCTCCACGTGTTTCCAAACACTGAAAGATCATGCAGAAACATTGAGCAACATTTATCAAGAGTGAGTTGTGTTTACCAGTTGAATACTTTTCACAGACAATCGCATATTTTGGATTTACAGGATTCATCGCTCTGTAAAATGTTCGGGTACGTGGCAGCACAGAAGTGGTTTGTGGGTTTGTAGTCTGGTTCAGGGCGTCTCCAGGGTGTGAAGATAATGGGGCTGTTGTCGGCCCACTTCCAGCCAAACCTGTGCAGTCCAGGCCTGCTCCTCAGACTCCAGGTCCTAGAGGCTGACTTCTGCTCTGTGCTCTCTATCACAGCCAGGTCAGTGTGGTTCACTTTGCTGTCAGCCAAAAAGTAAATGAAACTTTGAGGGACTCTGATGAAAGTATATTGTTTTCCTGAGGGTGAACCAATAGGAAGTGAAGAATTAAAAGTATTTTGGATACTTCCCTCACATAGGCTGTGTTGGGAATCAGCCAAAGTCTGGGATTGTGTCTTTAATTCAGACAGAAGACATGTTTTATTGTTGATGGTAGACGCACGAACAAAGGATGTTACAGACAGAAAGTGATAATATGCTCAGGAGAAACAGAGACCTCCAATCAGTAGCTGCCACGGTGTGCTTGTAGCTTCAACCTTGAAGTTAACCAACACAAGGGAAAAGTACTGGCTCGTGCAAATGTAAGAATTAAGTTAGAACTTTAACCACAGTTGCTTAAACGTGTTATGATATCACTACAGCTGGATCAGGGATCTCCAACCTATAGTTCAAAAGCTACCAGTAGTTTGCCACACCCAACCATGCAGCTCCCCAAAGGATTTAGAAATTACGCATATGCTAAATAATTCCATTACATTTTATAATTCACATCCTATAACTCTTGTGAATGTGAATATTGTTAACTTTTTGCCCCAATAACTTAAGTTGTACTTTATTGTTCTGTAGGGAAATATGCCCTCTACGTTTGATCCACCCTGATGCCACTAGGACTAGGAGATTATTTTTCCCACTGATGGGGCAACTACTAAACATTTCTAAACATACAAATGGAACTTCGACTCATTTCTTTTGTTAAACCTTTTGTCCTTTCACACCAGCACTTTATAAAAATGAGCTTATACAGTAATAAAGTATAAGAAACAGGAAAACAGCAGAGACCCTTCCATTTGTTATTTTGGGCAGCAGCAGCGGATTTCCTTTTACATGTTTTCATTGTTAAAAATATTCTGAATATTCTGAATAACCAAAGGAAGTACAGAGAAGTTGGTCATGAAAAGTAATGAAACAAAGTCTGGCCTGTCCAATGGGAATGTAACTCCTGCATATGTTTAAGATTACAAAACTGGAAATGCAGTGAATCAAATTGTCTCGTGCTTTTGGCTTGTTGAGAGTTGCGTCTGTTGTTGTGCCGTCCGTTTAACAAGCTGTCATAATGTGTGAGCGCTGTTGTGTGAAGCATTTGCTCCACACTTTAATAAGGAAACCCAACACCCGGTGATTAAATTACGCACTTTCCAGGGGCCACGGTCAAGTTTATTTACAGACAGGACTTCTTAACTTTGTCTCTTTGTGCACATTGACTTCAACCCACAGTCAATAATTCCATATGTAAATGCTGATATCTAATGAGTATCTGAAGAATATAAAATACCCATATAAGTATGTGGTGGGTCTTTGCACCTTCAGGTTGTGTGGGGCCAACTTGGCAATGGGATATTTCAGTAGTGGATTAGCCTGGCATGTTGATCTCCCAACAGATGACTACGCAGCCCTCTCAGATGACAAGCATTGGCACTTGGTCATTCCCATACAATACGGCAGAGCGGTCAGTGCCGGGCCAGACACATAGTCATTTGGTCGGTGTTGAAAGAATGCTTTAATCGGGTCAAACCTTCTTATTTGTGAAGTGGTCTGCAGGCGATGCGTTGAAGTCGGATCGATTTGGATGCCTGTTGTTGTTGTTGTTGTTGACAATGACAGCCTTTCTCCTCCCTCTTCATCTGCTGTTACTGGCAGGTAAGATAACAAAGCTGAGTTGAATGGTAACATTCCAACACTCTCTGGCGTTTACTAATCCATATAAATGTGTATACAAAGTCAATAACCAACTTTTTAATTGGAAATACTGCATGGACGTTTTCTATTATGCTTTTCAAGGAGTTTAAATGTGCTAGAGGTGTTTGTGTGATTTGAACACAAAAAAATTTATTCAACCAAGAAACAAATTGACTTTCCACTGAAGGTCATCACAGGACACAAAGAAACTCATAAGAGGCCCAGTGTGTGTCCAGACGCTAGACTGTGAATGTAGTGAATCAGTACATATTCCAAACTTTTATAAAATACCATTATCTGCCTCAGAATTTTTTAAGCTTATATTTGGTGAAGATGAAGGAGAATCAGTTGATGCCCACTTCATTTATAAATGTCTTTTATCCTTGTTTATAAATATTTAGTCATCTCCCTGTGTGTAAAGAAAAAGCTATCTCAGAATATGAACTGTGGAAAAATACAAAACTTTTTTTTATACGCATTTGGTTTCCTTATTTTTTTACACACTCAAATTTTTTTCCTCTTTTTTTCTTCAAGTAAGAGACGGATTATTCTTGCATGTTTGAGTGGTGTATATAAAACTATCACCCCCATCCACACTGGTTTTATCTTCATTTATTGTATGTTTGATGTAATGATGAAATGTATAACAACTTGATGAAAACCCAGCTACTTCTAACTTCTAACTGATACAGGAAGTGAATAACTCTACATATGATGCTACATGTTGCATGATTGCGTGTATCTTGTGCTCGGTCAGGTGCAGCGTGGGCCTCTCTGGATGAAACGCGGCTGGTGAAGACACTGTTCACTGGGTACAATAAGGTGGTGCGTCCTGTGGCTCACTTCACAGACCCAGTGGTGGTGACTGTGGGACTGCAGCTCATTCAGCTCATCAGTGTGGTGAGCCCCAGTGTGTGTGTGTGTGTGTGTGTGTGTTTGTGTGTGTGTGTTTGTGTGTGTTTGTGTGTGTTTGTATGTGTGGTGTGTGCGTGTGCGCGTATGAGCGTGTTTATGTGTGTGTGTATGTATTTATGTGTGTGTGTGTGTGTTTGTATGTGTATGTATGTGTGTGTGTATATGTATGTATGCATGTTGATTCATAAAACGCTTTTTTAAAGTCCTTTACAGTTTGGTTAAAAACAATCCCACATGCCCATGAACAATAATAAATAATAAGATAAAAAATATTAATTATTTTTTCTAATTATACAAGATTATATGAAATACCATAATAAATTATAAATACTAACCCAGAAAATGTATGTGTGTTTGTTTGTTTGTATGTACAATATGTGTGTATCAAAGGAATAATGTTATTGTTATCATTCATTATTATCGTGTATAATATTAAATGTATATCTGTTTCATTAGTTGTTTATTATTGTGTGTGTATTGTGTATGTATTATCATTATTATCATTGTCATAATCATTATTATTATTGCTATTATGATTTAATGAAGTCACAAACAAATAAATCTGACCCAGGAACTATTCAAACATCTTTTATGTTGATTCTTACAGGATGAGGTGAACCAGATTGTCAGCAGTAACGTGCGTCTCAAACAGGTATTTTCTCTCATCACAAACTATAAAGCTTTGAGCCAAGGTATAATGGCATTTCCCTCATTGTTACCTTGAGATGTTTTTAATTGGTTCTTGCATGTTTGAGCGATCTAGGATTCACTTTTTATACACCAACAGCATATAGATATAGATATATATATATATATATACACTCTAACTTTCTATCCCTGTAAACTGCCATTATGACAGCGAGCAGTGAAACAGATCCAAGTCAATAGTCCTGCATAAAAACAGTTCAGTTCCACAATATAGCGGTTGACACAGAGTAATATGTTTCTACAGTTTATTATCAAGTGTAATAAGTATAAAAGACGTGTCTTAATAACATACTGTCAGCAGTAGCGGCCTGCACATCTGTCACACTACTGCTTTGGGCAATCCCTGTTATTTCCCTACAATGACAGCATTCTGGTCCACTGACTTTCCTCTATAGTCCCAGTTTCATTTATGACCTACTTTGTTAGAATATTTCAATACTTTTATTTTTGTTCTAGTAACTTAAAGTTGTGTGTCAATAATCAACCTTTTATCACGCACCCAGAGCTGGAAAACAAATGCAACATAATGTGTGCCACATTTGCCTGGATGATCTGAAATGGCTTACCAAACAAAAGGATTTATTTTTGATGATAGTATGACGAGATTATTTTTTCCAAGCTTTGATTTAAGACCATGATTTGTCCTTTGTACTATCATGAAAATCTGTGGGCATCTATAAATGTTCATGTTTTATTGTCCTCTATGTACAGCTTCTCACTGTTCCACATGCCTGTCTCTTTCTATATCCAGCAATGGAAAGATGTGAACTTACAGTGGAACCCTGAGGATTATGGGGGAATCAAAAAGGTCAGAGTTCCCTCCACTGACATTTGGAGGCCTGATCTGGTCCTCTACAACAAGTAAGCCCCCTCCCTGCTAACGTTAACCCACTTCAGCTGCAGGACATGTATTTAAGTTCTGCCATTTCCAGCAAGAAATAGAGTACCTGAGCCTGGCATCACACTTTCCTATACGCCACAGTGTGCGAAGTGAAAGCTCACATGTCAGGCTAAATCTGGCCTGGTGTTACCCCACACACACACATATGCACACACACAGACACACACACACACCATATGCTCAGCCTCGGTCTGACAAACTCCTGCTTTCTCCCTAACAACCAGCGTCGCAGCACTGGCACTGGTTGGCTGCATGTGTGACTCTGCTGGAAGCCTCCTCAGGCTCCATTGTCTGTTGTGTTGACATCATTCTTCTTGTGCTGCACAGTTGTAGATACATTGTGTTAAGTGATTTGTATGTTATTATATTGATCATGAATGTATATATTTGGTTTTAGGGATCATACATTACATGTTATGTGGTTGTCATTCCATCAATATGTAGGTCAAAATAAAATAATTATAAAAACCTGTCAGACACGCTTTAATAGATGAGGACCTGTGATGGAACTGTGATGAACTACAAAATGAGTATGAAATGTAAATAACATCACAAACTTGTTTTTCTCTGAGGAAGTGTACGTAGTTCCTCAAAAACCACAATCACAGTCAAAGAACACCACGTCCTATGGTGGTGTTCCATCTAACCGGGCTACAAATGCAGACAAATTATTTTGAGATGGTTAAAACAATCACCACAGATGTCATCAGTAAAATCTCACAGTTCACAAATCTATTCCCAATCAACACAGTCTCCACAACTATCCACGATCCTTCAACCTCCAGCAACAGCTTAAATGCACACCTCTGCTTTGTTTGCATCCGTAGTGCGGACGGAGACTTTGCCATCGTTCACGAGACCAAAGTGTTATTGGAGCACACGGGGATGATCACATGGAACCCTCCCGCTATCTTCAAGAGCTACTGCGAGATCATTGTGCTGCACTTTCCCTTCGACCTGCAGAACTGTAGCATGAAGCTCGGCACCTGGACCTACGACGGCAATCTGGTCGTCATAAACCCGGTAATCCTGCTGTCCGTTATGGGGATTTGATCTCACCGTTTATACTGCAAGACACATCACCTACATGTTCTACTCTAGTCCCAGTATGTGTGATAGTGGGAAGATAGTGGGAAGAATTTAGAAGACTATGGGGGTTTATATCTTTTTCATACCTTGGCCTACCCTACTACCACTCATGCAACTATTCATCACTCTCTTCGTCAATCTTTCTTCATCCATTCTCTGCATATGCCCAAACTATCTCAATACACATCTGCTCTATCAGCCACCGAACACACCCTTTCTCTCCCTAACTGTTCTATCCTCATTCTTTCCAGCCTAGTCACACCTACAGTATTATACTTCTCAAGCATTGTACTTCAAACACATTCTATTTCTGCCTCGTTTCGCACGTTTCCGCACCATACAACACAAATTACCCTTTCATACAAACAGTTCTTCACCCTTACATTTGCATTCTTACCAAATTTCACCACTTTTTTACTGCACCAAGAACCTTGCCACCCTCATTAATCCAATTCTTTTAGCTTCTGCCCATCCAAGTTAACATTTATACCACTCGCATGCTGTTCCATTGTGCACCTCATTACTTTACTCTCCCCAACATTCACATTCAACTTCCTCCTTAAAAAAGCATTGACTGAAAATCCTCTAGACCAATGCACCAGACCTTAACCAATGATGCAGTTTGCTTTGACTGTTTAATTACGATCAATACCTCATGACTATAGGTGAGGTAAATTAAGAGCTTTGCCATTTGACTAAGCTCCCTCTTCACCACAACAGTCCGACCGTATCACATTCATAACCAGGGTTTTTAGTTATATACGCCATTATTGTGTTGATGTCAGAATTGCCATACTGTAATTTTCTATTATTGACGTAATGAGCTGAAAGAAGAGGTAAGAAATTGGAGAAAATGACGCAGGGGTCTGGGGTGTGTCACAGAGAGAAGACATGTTTTATTGATGTTAACACGACCAGACCAAAGGTTCACAGAATGCATGTGATATTATACCATGAGACAGTCCAATCAGCAGCAGCCATGGTGCCAGTAGCTTCGACCTTTATACAACCAAAACATTCACCAGCTCCTGCATAGTGTTGATGACCAGCTATGTTTTCACCAAATATATAATCAAATATCCATCCAACATTTTATCTTTTATTTTAACAAGCTCCAATGATTGTATATTCCCTGCTATTTTGCACACAACCACACAATCCAGGTCTGTCTTTTCTTTTCTGACTCCAGGACAGTGACCGCCCCGATCTGAGCCACTTCATGGAGAGTGGGGAGTGGGTGATGAAGGACTTCCGCAGCTGGAAGCACCAGGTGTTTTACTCGTGCTGCCCGGACACTCCTTACCTGGACATCACGTACCACTTCCTCATGCTGCGGCTGCCTCTCTACTTCATCGTCAACGTCATCATCCCGTGCATGCTCTTCTCCTTCCTCACCGGCCTGGTCTTCTACCTGCCCACCGACTCAGGTACAGCTACACAGACGGCCCAACAAGCTGTGAAAAAAGATATGTGACCAGATATGAAGGGAAGGGTTATTGAGGCTTTACTGTGGGCTAATGCACTGATAAGCCTCTTGTGTTTTCTGTACATTCATGGTGGCTTCTGTATTAGTGTGACATTTTGCACGCATATAGAAAGAGCAACGTTGAGGTAGAGAAAATATGTAGACTAAATAAAACACATAATATTGACAGTGCTTACTGCCACCCACCCATCACACTGCAAAAACTGATGAAAAATAAGTCATAAAATGTCTCAAATTTGACTGTCTTAAAACTACTATGATCAGAGAAGCCAGGACATGGTCTTGGACATGGATTTACACAGCCGCGGCAGAACAGTGGCTATAGCTCAGATTATTATTAGCTTTAGCGTCAGCCACGGCGCTGCGTCTGCATCATGGTGCAAAAACAGAACATTCAAACTCACGCTGATGATAAACGGTTTTCTGGTGATTTTTTTTGCAGGATTTCTGTGTGGTTGGCATATTTGAGGCTTGTCCTCTGAATAAGTTTTGTTGAAACGTGTGACATAGTAGAGCGGATCAGAACATCCCGAGGCCCGTGCCTCATTTGTTTTAGCTCTGCCTTTCGGTGCGTGTGTTTTGCGATGTTGACACTTTTGCTGCTATGACCAGGGTTTCTAGAGTTTTGTATAATTATTTTTCTAAAAGACTGTTATTCAGGTCGTTCTTTTACATAACTGTGGTCCTCTATGGTTCCTACTTCAAACTTGTCAGCGCACAATGAACGCAGCAACATTAGTAGTACCTGTGAAATGAAAAAGCGATTCTCTTATCCTTTTTGTCACTTATCAACCAATGTATTTCAAGATGGCGCATTGACCTGGATAGCACTGCACTCTTATGTACATTCATAGGTTAAATTCAAGTCTATGACAACAATTCAAAAACATGGTGGAGATGAATATTCTTAGAAAGGTCTAATTAGTTATTGAGCAAAATGCTTTTGAGCGAGCTGTAAAAATTACAGTACAGTTAGGAAAGATTGTTTTCCAAAACATATGATTTTGAATATTCCATTGCAGAATGACCCACTTTGGTATAGTCTCAGATGTCATTCCTGGGCAGTCATACTATAAATTTGAAAAAAAAAAGTGACATGATACATTTTGAACTGCAAAAAATACAGTTCTCTTATAGAATGATAAGTAATTTTATGAATAATTGTGACGGACTTTGCTTTATACCCTTAAACTCAATATTCAGACAACCAAAATGGTCTAGAAGGCCTTTTTATGTTTCTGTCTTATGAATTAACAGAGCAAAACGTTCTTGCCTCATTTCTCTTTCTGCTTGTCTCATGTCAAGCTTTTGCCTCCTACCTCGTCTTCCCTTACGAGTTTGAGTGGATTTCATAATGTCAAAACAAAATGAAATTCCCACTGAGTAAATCTCATTTCAGCAGAAGATTTCCAAGACCAAGTCCAATAAATAATTCGCCAGTGAATCGTCAAATGTCAACCGTGTTTAATCTGTAGACGAGTCCTAGTTCTGTCCACCTTTCTTCTTCTAAATGAATAATGGTGAACAATACAGGAAGATTAGCGGAAAAAAGCTTTGAATGGATGCTTTGCTGTAGTAACTCAAACCAACAACACGCTCCAGACCAAACTCTTGGCCTGTAAGCATGGGGAGTCTGGCCTCAGCCTCCACATCTGGCATGGCAGTGGGAGCAGACCAGCTCATTACCCAGAGTCCCTCAGTGCTGTCATGTCTGAACCAGGCCTTTGCTTTAATGTATTATACATCACTTGATCTGCGCCTCTGATATGACTGCTGACAGAAGAGTGTGGAGAGAAGCTGATGCCAGGAGATGCTCTCAGTGGGAAAAGTCGGCATCACAAACGACACGCCCTGAATACTGCTGCTGTGAATCACTGTCAGTTTGTTTACTCTTTCTTTGGTTTGATTTGAGGATAAAACGTCTGTTCAATGTTTTCAAGTGTCTAGAGGCCTTGCTCTCGTGGGCCCCACAAGAAGCCTGGACTGAATTTTTGCCTCAGTAAAGTCCGTCACTGAGACACAATCCATCGATCTCAAACCACCTCAATCCACGCCCATTTCTCTGGACTCTCGTGATTATTGGTAGCACACTTGGTTACAAATATTATGGCGTAAGAAGTATGACGTTTTGCATTAGCTAATGTAAGTACCCAAATATGCTACATTGCAAAACTTGGTCATTGAATGATGCTTCCCAAAAATATCGCAGATTGTTGTCGGATTCCAACATAAAGAAATGTATGCAAATGAAAATCCACTGGTGGCTGTGGTTAAATCCAATTTTGAACAAACACTTGTTCAGCCACATTAGGTCAATATTGTGGCATACTGTATCATCATCATTTCTTTATTCAAACTATAGTCCACACTAGAACAGGAAACACAGACAGACACCAAAAGACAAGACTCAAAATAAATAAATAAGAAATATTTTGTTCCATAAAGTCCTGGGGTTCACCAGTGTCATTGAAGCAGCAAATTAATTTAAAATACAATGGTCTCAAAAGAGTCTGAAAGCTGTGGACCACAGTCTGGCAGAACAACAAACTGCACTTTTGGACCTTCGGCTTTTTAGCAACATCTTCAAGGAATCATTATTGTTACATACTTTAAGATTCTGCAGTGTGGCCTTTTTATATTCACACCACTGTGGAGGTGTGTACGGTTTCATTTACACTCTGTACGAACAATTTCCTGACCAGAATGTTTGTTTGGACATTCATTTTACGACATTTCCAGTTAATATCGTCATCCTCAGGTCTGTGACGAAGTGATCCAAGGATCTTGATGCACACAGTTAATTAAACCCAGCACATAAAAAGGACATAAATGGAACAACATTTAAAATACAGATCTATGTGCGGTCTAGTTGAATAATACATATGTATTCAAAAGTAATAGGCCACTTTTAAAGCTAGGATACCTATCTTTCAAATCTCAAAACCTATAACTGTGAGAAAATAAAGTTCCTCACTCACACAGTTAGGTTCTAATGTAGTTTTCACATGTATGTGTTTTTGGCATCTGTTAAATTTTTGTATTCAAATTTTCAGGAAAAGTAAACTTGAGACCACCCTCACTCAGCAAATCATCTCTCAACCCAAAGTGTCAATTAGTGACTCGCATGGTTCTTTCTTATAAGTATGTAACAAATAAAATAAAAATTCTAAGCAGTTTTTGGTCAAATTTTTTAACAAAATATGAATTTTACAAGATTCTCAATAATACATGCAATATTGATGATAAAAATGTGAGGTACCACTTTGTGCCGTATTTAAATATGTTTTCCCCACAGAATTGTCTTCTTAATTCATTAGTATTCTAAATCTCTTTAAATGCATGTGTATAATTCCTTGATGGTGTATGACGTGTTGCAGGTGAGAAGATGACCTTGTCCATCTCTGTTCTACTGTCCCTGACCGTCTTCCTGCTGGTTATTGTGGAGCTCATCCCCTCCACCTCCAGTGCAGTGCCGCTCATCGGGAAATACATGCTCTTCACCATGGTCTTCGTCATCGCGTCTATTATTATCACGGTCATCGTGATCAACACCCACCACCGCTCCCCCAGCACGCACACCATGCCCGGGTGGGTGCGCAAGGTACCCGCTTTTATTTCACGAGCAATGTCGCCCTCATGTGGTACTAAGGGAGTATTGCGTTTGGCTTTTCAGGGTCCTGTTCCAGACACGTCAGATGTAGTGCTGATACTTGCTCTCTAATGTACTGCGAATGTATTTACTCCACGCACAAATAATTGTTGTAATTTACCTTCCACCGCTACACTGTTTTACTGCTTAAATTTTGCTCCTCACAATACACCTGATTCTTTATTTCTGATTTCGTCAGAGCTTTCTGCGTAAACTCAGAGAATTTACCACTAATTCTAAGATTCTGCTTAACTTTTTTTGCTACACCACTGAGAGTTTGCTTGTTGGCTCTGTGACTGTGTGGTTTGGAAACATCACAGACATAGAAAAGAGAGCTTTAAACAAGGTGCTCCGCTCTGCAAAGAGGACCGTGGGCTGTGAGCTTCCTGTTCTGGAGGTTCTTTATAAATCCAGACTTTTAAACCAAGCTCAGAGAATTATCAACGACTCTTCTGGCCACCCTGGGAAGGCCATGTTCCAGCTTCTTCCCTCTGGCAGAAGATATCGTTCTCTGAGATGCAGGACATCTCGTCATGCTAACAGCTTTTTTCCACAAGCTGTTATCAGTTTGAACAGAGCACTTTAATGATTTGCACTTGCATTGATACTGTTTGGTCGATCGTTTTCACAGTGGCAATTGTCTACTGTTTTATTTGTTTTATTTCTGTACTTTTAATGTTGTTTTATGTCTGTATTTGTCTTGTGCACACTGGTGACTTTTGCTAATACATTCCAAAGTGGTTTTACTGCAAATGGTAAATAAATGAATCTGAATCTGAATCTTGTGCGAGGGCGCAGTCCCACATCCTCTGATCTCTAATTAACAACATCACATGTACTCTAATGCTGAGCTCATTCAAGACTGTTAAGAGAATGTTGATGCTTGTTACACTGGGTTGCAAGGCTTTGTACTGAATATGTCATATAAATTAGGATGAAGAGATCCTTTATTCGTCCCAAAGTTTGGAAATATCAATGTTGCATCATAAGTTAAATGATTAAACTATAATGAGTAGCACACAACATAAGATAAGTGAACATTAAGTATAGCACAACTCTATTAAAAATAATATTAAATCTGTGTTTAGCTTATTAATGAACAAAGTATTATTATTATTACTGTACAAGTTAGCAGTATATATTCTAAATACATTTATCTTTCTCTTTCTTTACCTTGTTTTCCTGTCAGGTTTTCATTGAGACAATCCCCAACGTCATGTTCTTCTCAACAATGAAGCGTCCAGGAAAAGAGAAGCAGATCAGAAACATATACGGTGCAGACTTTGACATATCAGACATCTCTGGTAACCAGGCAACCTCTGTGCCCTACCACTCCCCCATCACCAAGAACCCAGACGTACGCAGCGCCATAGAGGGGGTCAAGTACATCGCAGAGACCATGAAGTCAGATGAGGAGTCCAATAATGTAAGCAGTATATCTACACAAACAAAAGGTTTTGATGTATTTTCAAAACATGAGCCCACACACACACACTCACATGTACACGTGTGCACACTCACAGGACAACAAAGAACTCAAAATACAAGTAAGTAAGAGAACTCTTTGATCCTGATCAGAGTAAAGTCATGCAGTACAAAAGTGATAGAAGTCGTGCAGTACAAAGTGTGCAGTCATGCAGCTCTGTTACTGTTGCACTGTGGACAGACACAAGGCGTGGCTGTTTTCCCTTCTGAAGAATTTAGTAACCACTGTGGTTAGCTCATAATGCGCAAAAGTCCAAAAACTTGACTTTGAGCAAAACTTTGTGCATGAGCACTTCCCTGTTGGACTTCATTGTGAGATCAATAAAGTGTATCTTACCTTATCTTATCTTGTACACACACGCGCACACACACACACGTTCACAGAATTATACAACCAATTCAGCCAATTTACTGTTATCAAACCCCACCTGTTGTTTCTGATAAGTGTAAAATGGACACTATAACAATAAAACTTTATCATTTACAATGTTACACCTCTGAGCTACATCACCCCCTGGGCCCTTGTTGTTTTCTCTCTGCAGGCAGCGGAGGAGTGGAAGTTTGTCGCCATGGTGCTGGACCACATTCTGCTCTGTGTCTTCATGGCCGTGTGTCTTATTGGCACATTGGGTGTGTTCGCTGGTCGTCTCATTGAGCTCAGCCTCCTTTGAAGTCGTCATGGGGATCACCCCCCAGTTATTGTGAAACGTAAAGCTCTGTGCGCTGACTTGTACTATAGACCTATACATTTTGTTTGAATTTTCATATTTGACTATTATAAGCTAACATATTGTTTGTCTTTAAACATTTTTGGGGAACAATTGATTTTTAAAAACATGATCATTTTCACCATTTCTCAATTTCTGTAAAGCTGAAGTTAAGCTTTATGTTGAGTAGAGACTGAACAGTTCGCAATTTGACTGTCAAATTCATGCACATTGTTTCTTTTCCCTCAAGCTCATGCACACCCATAGTGTGTCTGTGACTCTGCATAACACTCAATCTGATGCCTAAAGTGAGCATTCAAGTTGACTGAAAAAAACTTTAAAAACTGGTTTATTCTCAACTTTACAATCATAAACAACATTTTAAGACGTGCTTGTTTGTACTTTATTTGCAATATTAATATTTATAGTGATGTGTAAACCGACCTGCATATTTTTTACTGTGGACCCCTGTCATATCTGTATACTGCTAAACATTATTATCTGAAGTTATTTGCTCTGACCCACATTGTTACTGTATCTATATCTTAAGAATACGTCATTAATCGATTTTAATGACGCATTCTTTAGAGCGATGACGACTCTGTTCTTACGCACATTGATACAAATCCATGATATCTCATACTGTATAAAAAGCTTTGTCTCCTTTTTTGATCTGAAGGGACTCGATAATAAACTGGGTTACAGGTGCGATCCCAGCTGCCTCTGTCTTCATTTCTTGACAGTGACAATAAAATACTTTGAAAACAGGTGGTTTTAGTAAAAGTGTATATGACAAGTAAGAGGAATACCATTTGGTTCAAAAAGGTACAAAGAGATGAATCGTTTGGCTTGTTTTCCTGGTTGTAAATTTAAATAAAAATATTACAAAGTTACTAAAACACATGAAATTAACTATAATATTATTTAATTAACTTAAAGTGAACCACAACAATCCTGCTGGAGGGTCCAGTTTTGGCTATGGTCCATACATATGTTGTTTTGCCTGGAATGGTCCACATGCAGTGTGACGGAGACAAACGAGTGACTTCATGAGGCCTTTAGTCACAAGTCATATCTGTGGAGTGGCAAGCAGTAAAAAATATATACACATTTTACATCATACCTAGTTACATTGCACTTTTGTGACTTATTTAAAAAGTTGGAATGGTTTGATACAAATACAGACAGGCAACTGTTATTATTATTGTAGGACAGGGGATGCTCCAGGATATTATCTATTTGCTCAAACACCAGGTGAATATCTAATTGTCCATATAATTGTTGTAATTGTTGTATTGTTTGATTTTCTAATCTGCTGATGGCAAAATCAACAATCCAGTGAAGCCCTTCGAGATAACTGCTGATGTGATTTTGGACACTACTCAGTAAATGTCAATCCGTCCATCCATTTTCTTCCCCTTAATCCATTTCTGGGTCAGGGGGGTGGCAGTCAGAGCTGCACCCAGTGCACATGGCACCAGCCCCTCACTGATCCTCCTGCAGGTGGTGAGTTCACAGGATCCATGATCTTTCAGTGGGGGCTTCAGGCAAAGTGGGGTTAAGTGTCTTGCCCAAGGACACAACGACAGCAGTCATCAGTGGGAGTCGTGAAGTAGGTCTCGTGGTGGATTTGAACCTATGACCTTCAGGCCCAAAGGTTGAGGCTCTACCAACTGAGCTACTGCCCTCCCTTTAAATACAACAATATACCTTCATTTAGATTAGTTAATATCTTAAGAGGGCCATAAAAGCATGTGCGTTCCGGATATCCCTTGTGTGACTCTGCCGGTTTTGTTTTGTATGTATTTGTTTTTTTTACTTTTTTCACAAACTGTGACTTCATGAATCTAAAGTTAGATGCATCATTTAAAACTGCTGTTATTCCACCAAAAAATGTCCAAAATAGAACATACCTTAGCGTACGCGCTTGAACAGGATAAGCCCCGCCCCCTGGCCGCGGCGGTGCCTGTGATTGGTGGAGTGGCTCTTGACAAATACTGCTTTTGCCTTGTGAAAGCGGCTGCAAGGGACGGACACAAGAGCAGGTTCCCCTCCACCGAAACACATTCTCCGAGCTAATAACGCGTTATAAACGAGAACTTGATTTCATAGGCGATCAAATGACCTAAAATCCCCACGTTGAGTTTATTATCTATACTTTTTTCGCCTAAGCTACAACTTTGGCTACTCCCGCAGACTTCTCTGAAAGATAACATGAGAAGGACACCGCGTGCAGGGGTAAGCTATGCAAGTCTCTTCTGTCATACACACAACAAACTTATATTTATGGATTTTCATCGGTATTTGTGGCTCACAGTGAAATACAGTTGTTATCTTTTAACCTTTGTACTATTGACAGTTTCCTTTCTCTCCCCTCTTCCAGTGGCTTGTTGTGCTTGCTGGTTAGCTTGGCTCAAACCCACAAATGACAGCTGTCTGAATCATGGCATCAAGAGAGATTTTCACCTTGGCCTACGAGGAGGAGCCCACCACTGTCTCCTCTGACATGTCCATTGACAACCTTTTCCCTGCTTTACTGGAATGCTTTGGCATCATCCTGTGTGGCTACTTGGCTGGAAAGACTAACATCATCACCTCCACACAGGCCAAAGGGTTGGGAAACTTTGTATCAAAGTTTGCCCTCCCTGCATTGTTGTTCAAAAACATGGTGGTGCTGGACTTTGACAATGTTATTTGGCCCTTTCTGTGGAGCATCCTTATTGCCAAAGCTTCTGTGTTTGCAATTGTTTGTCTTCTGACACTGGTGGTGGCCAACCCGGAGAGTCGATTTAGTAAAGCTGGTCTTTACTCAATATTTGCCACCCAAAGCAATGATTTTGCTTTAGGGTATCCTATTGGTGAGTATGATGTCAAAGCCTCCCACATTTACCACAGGGACACTTGTCTTAAAGCTCTAATTACACATGTGTAAACCTTGTAAATACCTAAAATACTGTTTATTGCTGTCATTTGTTCATCTCTTTGGTTCATGTATACACTGACTATACAATGCACTATACATTCTTTCCCCGTCACTGTAATTACTATATCAAACGTATTGTTCAATAACTGGTGGATAAAACGGTATTATTTCTAGTTAAATTCTATAACATAATTTTCATAGCACATGCTTTTTAGTGAAATGCACAAATGAACACATTGCTTCACTGGGATTATCTCGCTGTAATGTACCTGCTCTTGCATCCTCAAACATTTTCTGTATCCTCAATCAAAATGTGTTATCACGACGATTCTTTTTTTTTTTCCATTGTTTTAGTTATGTATCGTGATTCATTTTTCATCAAATTATAAACCTTTAAGAATAAGGCTTAATTCTTCTTTCTCATTGAACAATTATTTGGATATTATGCTCACTTTGATTAGCGTACATTTAACTCGTATTTATAATGGCATTGGCATTAATGTTATTTTCTATGTTTTTCAGTTGCTGCGCTCTATAAGAATACATTTCCAGAATACCTCCAGTACATTTACCTGGTTGCGCCCGTTTCTCTTATGATCCTCAACCCTATTGGATTTGGCTTCTGTGAGATCCAAAAATGGAAAGACCAAGCCAACCACCAACAGAGTAAACTGGTCATACTGGGACATGTGATCCTGCAGGTCATGAAGAATCCCATAGTGTTCATGGTCATTATCGGCATTATTGCTCACTTTGCACTGCATCAGAGAATCCCAGCATTTATGGCTGAGTTTGTCGACGGATTGGCTAACTCTTTCGGGGGAGCAGCTCTCTTCTATTTAGGTCTGTCCATGGTTGGCCACTTGGGGAAGTTGACCAAGTCCACAGTTGTGACTCTGATACTGCTGATCACTGCAAAACTGTGAGTGAAAACATCCACTAGTTTAAGTCAGTTTTGGGATTTTCAACTTGTTATGTGTGTACAGGTGAAACTCAGTAATATAATGTAATAATTCAACTTACAAAGTGAAACTAACATATAACATTAAGCAAAGTGAGATATATCAGGCCTTTTATTAGGTATAATGTTGAAAATTGCCTCACATTTTGTAGAAACTTCAAAATAAAACATCTTGGTAAATTTTGAACATTTTGATAATGCGCTTTAAGCAATAGTCATCAAAATTATATCATACATAGACTTTAATATATGCTACTTTGTATGTATTGAGTTTTTGTTATATATGGTTACATTTTAAGTTGAACTGCAGATATAAATTGACTTTTGAACAAGATTAGAATTTCCTGAGTTTCACCTGTTTGTCCTAATACTGCATTGATATACCACAGTTACGTAAATGTAAAGCTGTGGAATCATGTAACTGTGAGAGAGCATTTAAATGTATCTCTCCTGTTCCTGACCATAGCAAACCCCACGGCACATGATTAGTATACTATTTGCATGCATTGCACACCATAGAGCAGCCTTTTCACACAAAAGGGAACCAGTTTGATTACCTCATACACCAGCTTTAGGGACTTCATTTTATTTACCCAACTAATTTTTGACTAAATGCTTTGAGTTTACAATACACTTTCTGAAGGGGAAAAACAAAAATTATGAAACGAAAAGAAAAAAAGTCACCCTCCCCAGCATCACTGTTATTATGTAAACATGTTTTGAATGACGACTTTTGAAGCCACAAGTCATTACGTGTTTAGTGGTGTTCCCAAAGCCATAACTTGTGTGTATTAGGATTTGACAAATGCTATCAATTCCTCAAGTGTTTATCTTTAATCTATCATCATTTGTAGGTTATTATTACCCCTCATTTGTAAAGACATGGTGGAACTGCTGGACAATAGCAACACCAGTACTTTAAACCACTCAAGCCTCTCCAACTATGCATTTCTCTATGGAGGCTTCCCCTCTGCACCAAGTGTGGCCATCTATGCTGTTTACTACAACGCAGAGGTGGAAGTTGTAAGTACACATCTGATTTTTAGTTCAGATTTTTATATTTGATGAATGTAATTGTCATTCTTCTGTTTGTTTTTCAGGTGACATCTGGCATGGTCATCAGCACTTTTCTGTCCGCCCCTATAATGTATGTCTCTGCCTGGCTGTTGACAAGCAGTTGGATGGACCCAGATGTTTTGAGGAAGTCCTTGCAGAATGTCAGCTTCAACATCAGCATAGTGGGACTAATTGTTCTTGTAAGTGGTCAAAATCAAACTATATTCAATCTATGTTTATATATTCCCATCTTAAAATAATAAGTTAAAGCAGTGAAATTCTTTCTGTGTTGCATTTTTGATTGTGGACAACAGTAAAAATGTGTGTGTGTGTGTGTGCGTGTGTTGTTTCTATCCAGTCAATATTGTGCAAGTTGTTCTGTAACTCAAAGTGTAGACTTCAGCATTCAGAATGTTTCTCTTTGTTCAACAGGTTTGGACGATCAGTGTCTTGTTTCTCAGTAAGAAAGTCAAGAAGCTGCCTCACAAGTTTGCTGCCAATTTATTCTTGGCTCAGGTACTGGCACACAACACAAATTATTTAATAGTGAAGTCTCATTCCTTACCATTTCTGTTTTTATAAATAGTTCATGACATGCCTTGGAATGATTCTTTGGAATTATGTAGTTTACTCCGACAACTTAATGGGACAGGTTTTCACATTCACACTTTTAAGCATCTCCCTCTACAGCACTAATGTGTGGACAGGTACAACAGTAACAACTAGCACTAACGTTGTGATAAGGAGAATTGAATGTGTTTTATTTGTATTGTTTTAGGTCTGATAGCACTGTCTCTTGTTCTGTTAAAAAAGTATGAGGAGGTGAAAGTGTCATCAGACATATTGGTCATTGTGGGCTGGGGGTGAGTAACAAAAAAATAACTTTTAAAACAATACCTTGTTTACAAACGCACATGTGTGTAAGGCAAATGAATCAACGTGCTTCTAATTCTATTCTACTATTTTACCAGGATCCCAACTTTTGTAACAGGAGTTTTATTAATCTCTGGTGAAAAGGTGCCGGACACCATAGATTTTGCTTTCTTTTATGGCAAACCTCAGGTATTTACTATTACTTACTATTAATTATTCAACAATATCGCGACATAGAGAAATAGAAATTTCTAGGCAGTTGTTATAGTTTCCTTAAAGTGACACGCACGTGCACACGCACACACACACTCCCCACTACAGACGTGTCATTCTCTAAAATCCATTGTCATCTTGCAGATCATTTGTTCCACTGTTGTGGCTGCTCTGAGCATACTCCTCACAGGAGTATCTCTTGTGTGTATCAGCCGAGGAACTTGGGAACCAAAGGAGGAGAGAGACTCGCCCTCTAGTGAAGAAACTCCGGTTGAACCTGAAACCACAAGTCCGTCTGATTCACGTTGTTGCTCAGGCAATAGTGATAGAGGTACATCTCACAATTATTTAAAATAATTTATTTACAACCTGTGAGCAAGTATTTTTAAATGTTTTATGTGTTCTTTGTGGTATTTTAATCTGTCATTCTCACGTGTGTGTCTTTGTTATCAGCTTGCCTCATATGTGACTCTCATGAGGCCACGCCTCAGCCCATGCCTGACATGGTCCTAAACACAAATATGAACGATGCTTCAGTCAGCGGTACACTTTTGTCATTAGTTGGGTATACTTTTGTTTGTGCTTGGACACAAAAGCAGAAAATCTATTCTTGATGTGTTCCTGTTCTCCAGGCCAGTGTGAAACTGACTGTGACCCGACACAGTGCCTGCTCATTCAGCAGGAGGAGGAGCGGCTGCACTTTTCAGACAGACAAGTGGCTCGTCATCTTATCTTGTGTCTGCTCCTCACCGTCTGCTTGTTTGCGGTAAGTCAATAAACCTGGGGTTATTTGGTTTACATTTTTATAGAACAGAAATGAGGCTAATCAATTCTCTTTTCACAATTAAATTATTGAATAAATATGTATTTTGACAGAACTTGTCCAGCTGCCTTTGGGTGCTGTTGAATCGGGTTCCAGGTAGACTCTATTTAGAGCTGCAGTTCTTCTGTGCCATGGCCAACTTTGGACAGGTAACTTTTCAAATGTTTTCCGCAGTTGTTGTAAAAAGTCTATCAGTACATATAGACATGTTTGTAATATAGATAAACATGATGTTAAACTGTTTTTCTCTGCAAAGGAAAGGACTTTGTGAATTTTTATAATGAGATTGTATTTTCATTAATTATATTCTTCTCGCTGGAGACTAATGGGGATCCTAAACCAGTGTGTGCCATCGGCCACCACCAACCATTCATGCACACGCCAGACTCATTCTTTTGACCAGACTAGATTAAACAAGGGGATTTTGCTATTGTTGTCATTTTGACTGTCATGCTTTGTACAGGGCCTTCTCTCATTTGCACTTTTTGGATTGGACAAACATTTCATCATACTTCCCTTTAAAAGAAGGTACTTTTTTTAATTTACACAAATGTAAGTATTTTATCCAAAACTCTTTTGTTCAATAGTTCATTTTCTTTTAGGTTATTCTCCCTCTGGAACAGTAGAAGACGACCGGACCAGCTCTGGACAGACCTTCCAGAGGAAATTAGAATGATCTGTACTCAGTTTACCAAATATCACAAAGAGCAGTGTGGATATGATATTGTCAGACAAAGAAGGTGGGAGTGAGCTTTCCTACATGTGCGCTACAAAGAATCTTCTGTGTTGAACTGTCTGTGCCTTCTCTTGGTGCATGGTTGTGTAGGTGTGGGAAGAAGACTATGGTGGCGTGTTTCGTGGGTTCTGAGCTGGTGGACTGGTTACTGCAGGTGGGCCTGGCTCTGGACCGGGGGGAGGCTGTCCTCTATGGGACGAGGCTGCAGAGCGGAGGTGTGCTACGACATGTGAACCACCAGCACAGTTTCCAGGACAGTCTTCTATTCTATTGTTTCACATGAGTAACACATTGACACATGGCATCATGTTATTGCACTATTTCATGAGCACTGCTGTTGCAATTAACATGAAGGTGCTTTTAACTTGACCCTTTTAACCCTTCAACTGAATTCTGTAAAAGCACCTTTTCTAACCATGAGTTATGGTTTCTAAAGGTGTCTGAAGAAAGGGTATTGCTTTAATGGCCCAGTCAAAACTGTGTATTATGTTTTAGTACATTTTGCCTCAAAAGCACTCGTCAGGAGACATTTCAAGAGATTTATCAATTTGGATTTTATTGTGTATTGCACAGGCTGTGAATGTATGAATGTACAGTGGGGCAAAAAAAGTCTTTCGTCAGCCACCAATTGTGCAAGTTCTCATAGTTAAGGTATGTAGCTATGAGGAAACAGGCCTCCCTCAACTTTTTAAGTGGGAGAACTTGCACAATTGATGGCTGACTAAATATTTTTTTCCCAACTGTACATACAATGACAAAGTATTATTTTTGTTTTATTGTATAATGCACTATTATTAACATTAAAAATGAATAGATATATTTGATATTGAAATAGACATAACATTATTAAACCGTTTATTTAAAATTGTTGTATTCATTCTGAGAAACCAATTGTAGCATTCATTTTGCCACAGTTTTGTTTCAACTTGTTCAGACACGTTGCCTTTAGCTTTTCTCATAAATCGCCATCTCCTCTTGAACACAGTTTGAAAACAAGTTGACCAAATAATCTGGTTCTGTAATACCCTCTGAAACAATCTTCTCCATCTGATCAATCTTGTTCTGTTCAAGTCCCCTCATCCTCTCTGTGATCTTCTGTCCTCTGTCCTGCAATTCAGACACATTTTGTTTGTAAAACAAAGAACAAACACAATAAATCCAAACAAAAGACAAATTCAACCTTGTGGGTCTCAATAATAGCAGACACGCGTTCATGCGTGGAAAATAATGTATGTTTGCGATCAGGTTTGCTCTGGAAACGAGGCTGCTTCTTCACAGGATCATCTGCACCGTAAGTGGGAGAACATGTCTCTTTAGTCGGCCCCACACCATCTATAAAGATGAAGGGTTTGAAAACAGATCTGAAAAACAGGCACCAGACACAATTTAATTTAACAATAAAAAGAGAATGAATGAGTGTTTACTAATATCACAACTGTTAACCGATGAAGTGACAGGGAGCCTAACGTATAATACATTTTTTCAACCAGATCCATGGAAGTAGTATGGGATCATGGCACATTTCAAAACTCATTGAAGATGTTCTGCAGTGGTTATTATGAAAAGGGTAGTATCAATAATGGAACATAATCTGCATTAAAAAAATATTTCAAACAAACAGAATTTTGCTCTAGGGAGGTTGGTTTGATCTTCTAAAGGCACTGTCATACCTCTCTGGATCTGGCGTTGCTGTAAAGTAGTGCACGGCTGGTCGGGTTAGATCGGTGGGGACCACAGAAACCATGCTTCCTGTTGACATGAACATTCCCTCCATGTTGATGCCACTTTCTTTATCTCTCAAGATAGCCATCATTGTTTCCGCAGTAATAGAACCTAAAAATAAAAAGATGCATATTTGAACCATTGCCTAAAGTTTACAATGATAAAACACTTCTAATGCTGCTTACCGTTACTTTTTTCTAATAACATCTTGCCCTCACAGTAGCGACTCCCAGAAGCCTCGATTCTGGCGGTGGTCATGTAGGAGTAGACAGAGGCAAAATTAAACTTGCTCTTTCCATCCCACCAGCCTTTACTGCGAGCATAGTCCCTCATCTCAGGGTGTTCTCTGTCGATCTTAGTAGTAATGCCATACTGATTGGATATGTTGCGATATCCACCTGAACAGTGAATGTGTTATTATTAATACAATGGCATAAAAATATAAATAACCTACTCACAAATTAGGTTCTCAAATATATATTATTCTGACTTAATGGAATGCACGAATGCTACTTTCTAGTGAAAAGTTTTGCAGTTATGAAATATTTAAAAAAAATATGAATCTAAAAAATTTTACAACTGTCCTTGCTCCAGATTTTGCGTTAAAATTTTGTTAGGCTTGTTCAATTTAACAGGAACAAATCTGGTTAATTTAGGGAAAACATTCTGTTATTGTAGATGTAAAACCTCCCCCCTGGACTGCCACCTTAACGTGGTGGGGGAGTTTGAGTACTCGGATGATCCTGGGAGCTATGCTGTCTGGGGCTTCATGCCCCTGGTAGGGTCTCCCATGGCAGACAGGTCTCAGGTGACGAGTCAGACGAAGAGCAGTCAGAAGCCAACATGGACAGCACGAAAAGAAGAACCGTGACGTCGCCCGGCATGGCGCAGCCGGGGCCCCACCCTGGAGCCAGGCCTGGGGTCGGGGCTCGAATGCGAGCGCCTGGTGGCCGGGCCTTAGCCCACGGGGCCCGGCCGGGCTCAGCCCGAAAGGATGACGTGGGCAGTCCCTCCTGTGGGCCCTCCTGTGGGGTCCGTGGCGGCTCGGTGCAGAGAGGACTGGGCAGCAGTCGAAGGCGGAGACCTCGGCGACCCAGTCCGCACACCCAACATCTGGCTCTTGGGACGTGGAACGTCACCTCACTGGGGGGGAAGGAGCCCGAGCTTGTGGGGGAGGTCGAGAGGTACCGACTAGAGATAGTCGGCCTCACCTCCACACACAGCTTGGGCTCTGGAACCCAACTATGGGCCTAACAGCAGTGCAGAGTACTCGGCCTTCTTGGAGTCCTTGGGAGGGGTACTGGACGGTGCACCGCCCGGGGACTCCGACATTCTCCTGGGGGACTTTAACGCCCATGTGGGAAGCGCCAGTGACACTTGGAGAGGGGTGATCGGGAAGAATGGCCCCCCTGATCTGAACCCGAGTGGTGTTCAGTTGTTGGACTTCTGTGCTAGTCACGGTTTGTCCATCACGAACACCATGTTTGAGCACAAGGGTGTCCATCAGTGCACGTGGCACCAGGACACCCTAGGCCGGAGGTCGATGATCGACTTTGTTGTCGTATCATCTGACCTTCGGCCGCGTGTTTCGGACACTCGGGTAAAGAGAGGGGCGGAGCTGTCAACCGATCACCACCTGGTCGTGAGTTGGATCCGCTGGCAGGGGAAGAAGCCGGTCAGACCTGGCAGACCCAAGCGTGTAGTGAGGGTCTGCTGGGAACGTCTCGCTGAGACCCCTGTCAGACGGACTTTCAACTCACACCTCCGGGAGAGCTTCTCCCAGGTCCCGGCGGAGGAGGGGGATATTGAGTCTGAGTGGACCATGTTCTCTTCCTCTATCGCCGATGCGGCGGCTCGTAGCTGTGGTCGCAAGGTCTCTGGTGCTGGTCCCGGCGGCAACCCCCGAACCCGGTGGTGGACACCGGCAGTAAGGGATGCCGTCAGGCTGAAGAAGGAGTCCTATCGAGCCATGATGGTTCGGGAGACTCCTGAGGCAGCTGTCCAGTACCGGCAGGCCAAGCGTGCCGCGGCCCGGGCTGTTGCAGAGGCAAAAACCCGGGACTGGGAGGAATTCGGAGAGTCCATGGAGCATGACTATCGGTCGGCCTCGAAGAGATTCTGGCAAACTGTCCGGCGCCTCAGGAGGGGGAAGCAGTTCTTTGCCAACACCGTGTACGGTGGGGGGGGTGAGCTGCTGACCTCGACCGGGGATATTGTCGGACGGTGGAAGGAATACTTTGAGGTTCTCCTCAATCCCCCCGTCACGTCCTCCGCTCCGGAGGCAGAGGCTGAGGATGTTGGGGCGGATACTATTGTCACCCTGGCAGAGGTCACCAAGGTGGTTGGCAGCCTCCTTGGTGGCAAGGCGCCGGGAGTGGATGAGATCCGTCCTGATTATCTAAAGTCTCTGGATGTTGTAGGACTGTCTTGGCTGACACGTCTCTGCAACATCGCGTGGCGATCGGGGGCGGTGCCAATGGAGTGGCAGACCGGGGTGGTGGTCCCTCTCTACAAGAAGGGGGACCGGAGGGTGTGTTCCAATTATCGTGGGATCACACTCCTCAGCCTCCCTGGTAAGGTTTACTCCAAGGTACTGGAGAGGAGGTTACGGCCGATGGTCGAATCTCGGATTCAGGAGGAGCAGTGTGGTTTTCGTCCCGGCCGTGGAACACTGGACCAGCTCTACACTCTCCATCGGATACTCGAGGGTTCATGGGAGTTCGCCCAACCTGTCCACATGTGCTTTGTGGATTTGGAGAAGGCGTTCGACCGTGTTCCCCGGGGTGTCCTTTGGGGGGTCCTCCGTGAGTACGGGGTCCGGGGTCCTCTGCTGAGGGCCGTCCGGTCCCTGTATGACCGGAGCCAGAGCTGCGTGCGCATTGCCGGCAGTAAGTCAGACCTGTTCCCGGTGCATGTTGGCCTCCGCCAGGGCTGCCCTTTGTCACCGGTTCTGTTCACTGTATTCATGGACAGAATTTCTAGGTGCAGCCAAGGGTCGGAGGGGGTCCGGTTCGGGGACCACAGGATTTCATCTCTGCTGTTTGCAGACGATGTTGTCCTGTTGGCTCCAACGAACCAGGACCTACAACATGCACTGGGACGGTTTGCAGCCGAGTGTGAATCAGCACACGGTGTGAATCAGCACCTCCAAATCTGAGGCCATGGTGCTCGACCGGAAAAAGGTGCCTTGCCCTCTCCGGGTGGGTGGAGAGGCCCTTTCTCAAGTGGAGGAGTTCAAGTATCTCGGGGTCTTGTTCACGAGTGGGGGAAGGATGGAGCGTGAGATTGACAGGCGGATCGGTGCAGCGTGCGCAGTGATGCGGTCTCTGTATCGGACCGTTGTGGTAAAGAGGGAGCTGAGCCGAAAGGCAAAGCTCTCAATTTACCGGTCAATCTTCGTCCCCTCCCTCACCTATGGTCATGAGCTTTGGGTAATGACCGAAAGAACGAGATCACGGATACAAGCGGTCGAAATGAGCTTCCTCCGCAGAGTGGCTGGGCGCTCCCTTAGAGATAGGGTGAGGAGCTCAGTCACACGGGAGGAGCTCGGAGTAGAACCGCTGCTACTCCACGTCGAGAGGAACCAGTTGAGGTGGCTCGGGCATCTGTTCCGGATGCCTCCTGGACGCCTCCCTGGGGAGGTGTTCCGGGCATGTCCCACCGGGAGGAGGCCCCGGGGAAGACCCAGGACACGCTGGAGGGACTATGTCTCTCAGCTGGCCTGGGAACGCCTTGGAGTCCCCCCGGACGAGCTGGAGGAGGTGTGTGTGGATAGGGAAGTCTGGGCGTCTCTGCTTAGACTGCTGCCCCCGCGACCCGGCAACGGATGAAGCCGAAGAAAATGGATGGATGGATGGATAGATGTAAAACCATTAAACAAGTGAACATCTCTGCACTAGTCACTTAAGTCACATTTTAAAACAGATCAGTGAAGCATTTTAGACACCGGTCTAACAAGCTTCTTAGTCTGGGACTTGTTTGTATGCTCACTCTCCACTCTCTCCGCTGCCCAGTACTTGGAAGATGTCTCCAGAAGCCAGGCCTCCTTCTTGTCAGAGATGAGGAAACTATTGTGGTAGGTAAAACCACTCTCATCCTCCATGCAGGATCCCCCTTGTCCATGTTTCTGCAGTAGCTCAGTAATCACATCCACTGCTTTTTCTGCTGTGTCTGCCCTCTCAAGACCTAGTCTGGAAAATAATTGTAATTATACATGATGTCATTCATTTTTTGTGCTGTAAAAACAAGCCAAAAAAGTTTAATGTTGACAGGTAATAATTTGCCTGGAGCCCATACCTGACTAGGTCCATGCCGAGAAGAGCCTCCTCACCATCAGAACTCTCTCTGCCCCAGACTGCTTCATTGCCAATACACACTCCATACTCATTGGCTCCCATCTCTGCTCCCCATAGCCATGCTGGTTTACTTAACACCACAGCGTATGTGTGGCAAACCTGATCAATCGTGATGTATGTGCACTTGAAAAAAGAGCGAAAAATACTGTCATGACATTGCGACTGTCTTTCTTTCTCCTCATTCTATGGTCAGTCAGTGAGTCCCCCACCTCCACTGTGGCTCCCTTCTCATGGTCACTGGCAGGGTTGTACACCACCTCTTGGACCTCATCACAGGGCCTGTCCGAGTTCTTCCCAAAGATGATGCGCTGTCCCACAGTAGAGGGGGGAAGAGCCACAAATGTGTCACAAGATGAAGGTTCCATATTTATCCACTGGGACAAAAAAAATACATAACATAAAAGTTTGTTGCACGGTGGAGAATTGCACAGGTTATGAACAATAAAGGGTAGGTAAATCTAACATTGATGAGGAATAAAATAAGTTATATTTCATTTGTCCCACAATGGGATGATCTCCAAAGAAAGGATGAACACACAAAATAATATCAAAAGAAACATTGACAACATATATTCAAAGCTGGAAGTTTAGCTACTGAATAGAACACAAGACTGTTTTGTGTGCCGTGAAAAATTACACCCATTTTCACACATTTGAAAAATATATAGTTTTTGGTTGAAGAATAATGGTAGAGTCAAAGAGCTATTTCTAATACGTTACCTGTCACCAAAGCCTACTTTCTGTTTCAATTCTTCAGGTTCTTCAACGACACGGAAACAGTTCGCCATGTGATGTAAACAACACCAGCGGTGTCAAAATAATAATAAATGATGTAAATAATAAGACTATTGAGTTTATGGGCATGGCTATGAACACTAAAACATTGTACTTAACATAAAAAATAAAGCCATACGTCAAGATTCTGTTGAGCTACAAATGGAAAATAATAATGTGTTAATGTAGTTTTATTTTGTATAATGACGTCCTTTTCATAAACACTTCCGGGGTGGTTTTACCAGTGTTTATGTGTACAAGAGTGCGTCGCCAAAATACATTATAACGCCGCACATTTTAGATAAAACAGTGGTTCAGCCATGGGTAAGTCCTTTGCTAATTTTATGTGCAAAAAGGATTTTCATCCTGCGTCGAAGTCAAATATCAAGAAGGTGAGTTTGTATCTCATAATGATTCTTTCTCTCTGCAGCGTTAGCATGTAGCATGCTATCTACTTTGGATTATTATGGTTTATCGTAAACGTTAAATAATATGCTGTGACAGTCGTGTTTTATGTAACATGTTGTATTTATGTGCATGTATTTTAAAATGATCAGCTAGTTGTTTTGTAGCGCGTTGGCTAGTTAATTCAGCCATGGTTGGCTAACGTGTTTCTAATAAATTATCCTAGCGAGCTATCAATAATATTTAAGCGATCCTTTCAACAATAGTCAACATTTTTATTCAAATAGAACAAAACGGAAATAAAAATGCATTGTGAAGGGCAACTAAACGATAAAAGCTAGCTAAATTGTTATGCAAGTGCTTAGCTTGCAGTCACTCAAATATCCTCCACTAGAGGGAGACATAGGGAGCAAAATCAGTACTGGGCTGTATGTCTATGGGCTGTATGCATATATCTATAGTACAGCGCAGATGACGTGATTAAAATCTATTTCTTATCATTTAGTTGTTGTTATTTTTATTTATTTTTTGTATTTAAGCCACACCATGCAAACGTACCAATATGCTTAACCTTTATATTTTTGTGGGATAGGTATGGATACAAGAACAGAAGCTCACCTACGAAAAGTCCAAACAGGAGGAGCTCATGCAGGCCTACCTGAAAGAGCAGGAGACTTACAACAACAGGTTCCATTTTGTCTCTTGACTTTTGATATTGCTTATAAACATGATGATGTTTATAAATAAGTTGTATTCAATTAATACACTTTTGTATTACTCTAAACAACACTACATTTGTAATGTCATAATTTGGAATTTTCTACTTTAGGGTCTTGATGGGAGATGATCGTGTGAAAAATGGGCTTAATTTCATGTATGAGGCTCCACCTGGAGCATCCAAAGGTAAGATCCAAATATGTGATTTAAATATACCTAAATATTTTTGATTATTGAATTTATTTTTCACTCTATATTGTCTATCTTGAAGAGGAAAAGAAAGAGGTACAGAATACACGGCATATCCATGTTTATGTGATATTTTAATTCAAATGATGTTATATTTCTGTATATCTACTAGGAGGGCGATGAAGAATGCAAGTTTGAATGGCAGAAAGGAGCCCCCAGAGAAAAGTGAGTTCCTACACTAGACTAATATTATTGTACTTCAAACTAACTGCTTTTCTTAAATCTTCCGTGTTTTAGATATGCAAAAGATGACATGAATATTAGGGATCAACCGTTTGGCATCCAGGTCAGTATTACCTAAGCCTTGATCTTTGATGTAGAGAGGAATCAGTGCTGAGATTCTTTGTCTATTCTGTTTATGTTCCTGGTTTATGTTTGCAATAATTAATGTAGTCTTTTATATAAACTTTGTATATTGTAATTATTGATGATGCCACTTTTTAGTGCTTCGGTTATCTACTTCTTTCTTGCTCTGCAATGTGTAAGAGTTGTTAAAATGTTGTAATTTTGTTAAATTTTACACAGAAATATTAAACTTAAATGGTTTTAAACATTTACTGAATAAATGCTTTCTGAATGCTCTCTCTCTATCTATCTATCTAATCAATAAAATCAGTGAATTATGTCCAATGAGATGTAATTAATTAAATCCTACATTCTCATAACTGCTGTTTCTCCAGGTCCGCAATGTGAGGTGCATTAAGTGTCACAAATGGGGCCATGTGAACACCGACAGAGAGTGTCCACTCTTTGGACTGTCTGGGATCAATGCAAGCCATATGGCATCAGACGAAGGAGCCGGTACTTTCTTTTTCTATATATAACACAGTCACTAAAACACTCTTTGTAGCGCACCTTTTTGAGCTTTCCGTTTCGCCCTCTCTCTTCCACTGTCTGTCGGGGCTCCCAGTGTAGCTCATGATTCTGGATTGTGCAATCAGCAAGTTGAGTAGTAAAGTAATAATGTTTACCCTGGGAGAGTCCAGTCAGTGCATGGTCTTGATGGTGGAGTGCTGTAATGGTTCCCCTCCTGTGCTGGCAGAAAAAATGTAATTATTGTGTATTCTGCTTGCCCAAACCGCTGCTTTGGCAGAGAATGATATTGTATGATTTGCTCAGCCGGAAGTGGTGTGAGTTGATTTGATGTCCCATTCTGTTAACAAAGCCGCCCCTGAAATTCCTACTGTGGAGATGGTGTCTGGCATAGCTTTGACATGAATGGGACTCTAAGGCTGTGATTTGTGCTAACAGGTCCGTCGATGCACCCCTCCGAGTTAATGGCGGAGATGCGAAACAGTGGGTTTGCCCTGAAAAAATGTGTCCTTGGTAGGGATGCGACTGTTTGTGATCCAGCACAGGTAATTGTCTCACGCCCTATAACATACGCAAGCAGTATATAAGTATATTCTTGCTGAGATGAAAGTAAATCAAATGTAATAGAACATTTTATATTTATTATTATTTTTGTGCATGCATGTTTTAATCGGATTTTGTGTAGGATTTTGTTGCCAGCGAAGAAGAGGAGGACCCAGAGGTGGAATTTTTGAAGTCTTTAACATCGAAGCAAAAACAAAAGCTACTCAGGTAATTTGATAATGCTAATTAATTTTTTTATATATGCCCTTTAAAGCAAAGAAAATGCATTATAATAATTGTTATTTGTGGCTTGTATCATGCATTCATAATTGGACGTGCTTGTTTCTTTTTTTGATTTTATTTTTTGATTTTTTTATTCATATTAACAATGCCTTTTTAAAATGTTGCTGTCCTTGTGTTGCACAGAAAACTTGACCGCCTTGAGAAGCAGAAATCCAAGAAGAAAAAGAGCAAGAAGCAAAAGAAGAAGAGAAAAAAAAACCATAAGAAAAAGGCTGACAGCGACTCGTCAGACAGCAGCAGCAGTGACAGCAGCGCCGACTCCAGCCCCAAAAAAAAGTGTAAGAAGAAAACATCCCATCGAGACAGCAGCTCAGACAGACACGCCAAGGGTCACAAAAAGTCCTCTTCTCACCGGAGCAGGTCACCGAGCCCGCACAGCGCTCACAAAGCGGCCCATTACCGGCACAAGACAGAAAGGGAAAGCAGTCTAGTGAGCAAGCAACAGGGAGGTCAGGACAAGCAGAGAGGCAAGAGGAGCGGAAGTAAAGACGACAATAGGTATTACAGAGGCGATGATGGGCGAAAGGACAGGCCACAAGAGATGAGAAAAGACCGAGGACGGAGCAGGAGCCCAGATAGGAACGAGCGCAGAGTGGACAGGAGTAAGAGCCAGGAGAGGAGAAAAGATGGACAGAACAGGGGTAGAAGCCGGAGTAGGAGCCAGGACAGAAGGAGGGATCGGCCCAACAGGGATAGGAGCAGGAGCCCACAAAGAAAAGAACGTAGTCCAGACAGAGACAAGCGAAAATACTAAAGCTTTTGGCCCAATTCAGTCATTCAGGTCTTGCATGGACCCTACAAAGAATAGGCTGTTGTACTTCTGTTCTCCAGTAGAGGGAAGCAGTCCACAGAAAATGCTAAACGGTAGGCCTTAGCGGTCCAGTTCTACATGCCGGGCAAATACATTTATTATTAGTGTCATACAATTCGCTGCATAAATGGGTTTTTCAACTTTTTGGAAAACGTAAGTATCTATGAAAATAATAACTTTCTTTAGAAACTTTTTAATTTTATTTTAAAACGTCATTACTTAAAATGGTTGTAATTCAATTGATAAAAAGCTTTATTGTTAATGGTAAGATATTAAAAATACTTTCCAAAATAAAGTCGTTGTATTGGTATTTCAACACACTTTTGTATGTAAAAATGTATAGTTTTTTTTTTTTACCACATGCCTGATGTATACATATATATATGAAACATTGTGGTAGGTGTTTCTGTTTATCTCTATTGTTAAATCAAATTTCGAAAATGATGTTTAATTCAGTCTGAGTGAGATACATAAAGCCTGACTATCACTATTAGATCTGATTCTAAAAATATATTTGTATATTATTGCCTCATTTTTAGATCTTTTTTATTCTTTTAAGCCATATAAATGTACAGGTTTTGTATGGAACAATATTTTCCATCGTGGTCAATAAATAAAAAATAATTGCATCCAAAGTAAAAAGCACACATTTTAAAATATTGTCTCCAAGACATAACATTTGAACATTTTCCTAAATGGGATCCTGTCTGGTCGCTCGTTTAAAAGCCTTGTTGCGCCAAAGGAAATGAAAATAATTTGCCTATTGCCTTCTGCTCAATTTAACAGGCGCCTGAAAGAGGCTGTGTGCAGGATGCCTCTCCCTGACGTATTCCCATCGTGACTGAGCTGTAATTATTATTCCTTGCTTTTCCTTGAGTCGGACGCTGCACTGGCTACGCACAAAGAAGTCAGAGAGCATCCTTGAACCCTTTCAGCGTGGGGCCACTGATATTCAAATAACACACAGGCCATTTGACTGCACCGCCGCACAGCATTTAAAATTCAACATTTGCATCTGACTCTTGGCCCTGGCTTTTTCTGAAGTTTAAAAATGGTTCCCATAACATCTTTGTGGTTTGCAGTAAAGAGGAAAACCCGCCATATATAGCACAATTTTCGCTCCATGGATATGCAAATTCTAGTAGTTAATTTGGACAATTAGAATAAATATTCAGAGACCTCTGTCATCAAGCCCCCCTAGACGGCCCCGATAAAGTGCGAGTGAACAAAAGAGGCTCGCAGATTAATTAGATATTTGATAAGACACGAATCCCCAACCGCACAGACAAGACACATGGGACTGCGGTTAGCTCCAAGTCATAATTAATAGCATTTAAAAAGGTTTTCATTTGGCCATGAAATGTCTTTTCCGGGGCATTAAACATTGATCTGTTCCATAGGGAAAGCGTCACACGCGGCTAACTAGACCTGTTTTAGGGAAATAACCTTTGCATCAGGCCTACAATCCCTGAATCCCCAAAGAGGTTTCTATACCTGTGCATGCGATTTACCCATGACAAATAATTAAAATACAATTAAAGCCTTTTAAGACGTTTTAATTAATTACGATAAAATGAAAGTATTATACGTGACTTTATACAGGTAAACATTTATATATTTATAGATATTTGAGCAAATAAAAAACGTGGTAACCGAGGTTAGGGTAAGCTTGGTACATACATATCCACAAAGTGCGTCCAAAGTAATCTCCCTGATGTCCAGGATACCAACACGAGAAAACAAGAGCCAAACATTTACAGAAAACACACAGTTGAGGCGTCATTTACAAATGCAGTTCACATTGTCCAAGTTCAACAGGCGTCCGTGTCCCCGGCCTGGAGAGAGCCTTGCCTCTGAGACAGTCTCTGCTGTCACTATTGTGTCTATAGACCCGTTTAGCAGTGCACCCTGTCCGTCTGTGACCGCCTGTGCCAGGACTACGGCTCGTCATGAGGAGACGGCTCCTTCACAGTGATCCGGGGATTGACCCCGTCTAAAATCAGTTCTGGGGACTCGGACCTGGGGGTCTCCAGGTTACTGGTGTCGGTGTCACTGTCGCTGCCCTTTTTACTGCCTCCTCCTGCCGTGTGCGTTTTGATGTGTTTGCTCAAATGGTCACTGCGCATGAAGCGCTTGTTACACACAGGACACGCAAAGCGCTTCTCTCCCGTGTGTGTGCGCAGGTGTCTCTGCAGCTCGTCTGAACGCGTGAACCTCTTCCCACAGAAAAGCCAGTTGCACACAAACGGCCTCTCGCCGGTGTGCCACCTCAAGTGCGCCTTGAGATGTGACGTTTTCCCGTACACTTTACCACATCCCGGGATGTGACAGCTGTGGAGTCCCTTCCTCCGTAGACTGGCCCCCGCGGGCCCGAGCCTCTCGGCCTCCTGACAGTTCGGACAGTCACATGTGGCCCGGCCTGAGTAGCGCCGGGACGAGCGAGACGAGCCGCTTATTCCTGAGCTCCCGCCAGAGATCATAGCGTTGGCTGACGCGTCAGTGTACGTGGGGATGACTGTCTTGAAGCCGTCCTGCGTCAACAGGTGCTGGCTTGTGGACAGGATGTGTGAGGCAGACGGGCTGATGCCAGTGGAGCTGAAGGCGGAGTGTGTGAGGGACGAGAAGTCTGGGTTGTAGCCGCTGAGCTGTGGGATGGCCTGGGGCGCAGCAGAGTGCAGAGAGCTCTGCAGGGAGCTCGCCGGGTTCTGCACGTCCAGCCAAGAACCGGGGTTCGTATGGACGTCCCACCACGAAGATGCGCCATTAGTCACGTCCCCGGAGATGGTTGAGTGGAAACCAGACTTATACCAAGACTCGTAGGGATGCGCCATACCCACGCGTGGATAGAGGCTCTCGGCAGATGTGTGCACTTTGGAGATGAACGCTGACTGGCCAGACTCCTGTGATGTGACACAGGCAGAGTTAGAGAACAAGCCGCTGTAGTCGCTGGAGAACGCGGAGGACGTCGGTGATGTGGAGGCTAAGCAGAAAGCGCTGTTCCCTGTTCCACTGGTCGGGGTTAGTCCTGTGGACGCACGGCTTGTGGCTACTGTGAACCCAGGCAGACTGGAGCCGAGGTTACAACTGGACGAGGACCTCTTCCAGGGGTGAAATCCACCTTTGGAGAAAGCGCTGGAATCTGGCAAAGTGGTCAGGGGACTAGTGTTGCCGATTTTGTTGCAAGTTGCTGCCAGCATTGCTAAAGGTGTAGTTCCAAACCGTGGCTCTTCCTGCAAACATGGGGAGAAACAAAATCTTATTTATTTTGTGTCTATTTTTTGTTTGTTTGTTATGTTTCAACATGGGATAATAAATGGCCTTATTTGAAGTTCTACGGCCTAATTAACTGTTATCTTATTAACACAACATACAGCTTGACTGTGGCAACATTTAGCATAAGTTTGAGGTTGAATTGAGCTCCAACATATTTCAGTTTAATTACTTTGGTGCATAAAGTTTTCAATCGAAATCATCATATAGAAACACAACAAAGTATCTTCTAAACACATGTTTCCCAACTTCACTTGTTTGAACAAAAGAATAATGCAACTTACCCCAAGTATAGACGTAGCCATATCCAGGGTCTGTGCTGTGAGGAGGGAGTTCGCCAGTTCGGTGCCGTACAACTCCAACGTGATCCGGACGCACCGTGTTTGACTTGGGTCACACGGTTTCTCTCTCTTGGCTCACAGCTCGAGTCTCTACCTAGTTGTACTGAGCGTGTTCTTTGAAGTACAGCTGGCGAGGACGCGCAGCCAATCACATCGCTGCATCCTTGGTCAGGGATGGAGTCAGCCAATGAGAGACGCAACCGCAGACACAAACTCCAAAAACCCTCCGTCAATCATGTGCTGCACTGCCTCTGCTCTGACTGTCATACAAGACACGATTTGGTATTTTTAATGCATACTCTTATTTTATGTATCCTCTAACGAATTCTCAATGTCTCATTTCTGGGAATGAGAGTTGAATAGAATGCACACGTAGTTTCGACGGAGGTAAGTGTTCCTCTTTTCTACGCGTTTGTGAACCGATTGTTAGCAGCTTTATGATTCTTCATGTTCTGTGCGAGATCCTGCGCAGCGAGTGAGTGCTTTTGCATGGTCCTGCATTTTTAAATGTCTTTGTTTGGGATAATAATGCTTCTTTGACTGTACCATCAGTATGAGGGACAGAAGGCATTGACAGATCACTTCGTTTGTATGTTTACCTCCATAAATGACGCAATGTAATAGTGAACTGTAATAAAAGTAAGACCCAAAAGTGATAAACAAAAGTCACCTGTGAGCGCACTTCATCTGGTGCGCGTGCCCGCGTTGACGCACGCGCGTGACCGTGCAGAGCAGGTGAGGGGTTAATTAAAAATGACAGCGGGCTTTTATAGCACGTGGTTTTACAGACGAAGTTTCAGAGTCCAGAGGATTTAAGGCCTCAGTCGCCTCTATTAAACTCAATAATAATATAGCCTATCAAATACTGATACATTTTACTGACTATTTTGATGACTAAATGTTTCACAAATTTACTAACTTCTGCGAATTTTTATTACCCCTAGCTAATAAACCAATACGCCTCATAAGTTGTTAAAACCGGGAGGATAATGGCACAATGTAAAATTGACCTGCTCCGATGTGAATCATCATCATCATTTTAAAAGGTAAAGCAATTTTCCACAGAAAGGCTTGACCGAAAGATGTGCATTACTGTCCCCATTCAAAACGCACAGATAATGCTCCATTATGTGTGAGAACGCGATCAACACAGCAATTTGTGCAAATGCTCCCCTTTGCTTTAAAACCTCCTTTGAAGGGGTAATAAAACTATCCACACCAAATACCAAGAGAAAAATATAGAATAATTCTTGTGATCACGACAATTTGCCAGAATGTTATTAAAAATAAAAAATGCATATTTTGTAGGAACAAAGTTGAAGGCACTCGATTAACGGGCGCGGAAAGTGGAAACAAATGGAGAAATAATGACATATTCTTTTCGCTGGATAAACGGTTTAATATTGAAAAGACCTATATGTGATTACAACAAATAACCAAATGGTCTTTGTATTTTTAACACAATCAAGCATATCAGTAAAATCCGTGCAGGCCTTTTGTTTTTTTTAATGTTGGCCAGATTTATTTTTCAAACATTATAATTGCATTCACGGACACACATGCAGATATGTAACAATATAGGGATTTTTTTACTCAACTGTAGGATGAAATTTGGTAATATACATACATAAAATACGATATATATTGTGCTCCAGCTATGACACTTCCCATATACGTTAAAAAACCTCGCTATATCTTCCAATTGTCTGGTATAGAAGAAAACAATAACTTAATCTAAGAAGACACGATGCACGATGACCCTTCCTAAAATAAAAGCTGAACACACTTGCCCTGTCATTGCAAAAGCATTTCTGGTCTGAATCTGTAATTCCGTACTCCATTCGGGAGCACTTCTCTGTGGCAATTAGGAGCCTATTACAAGCCATTAGATTGATCAATGTACCTTAAACAATAGGAATGATTTATTTGGTCGAACAAAATGCTCTGCATCTATTGTGATGAGTCTAAGTGGGGGAGCATCCATCAACAAAAGATAAATGATTAATCCAGACCTATTCATTTCAATTCTCTCTACAAAAGGCTGCCCCCATTCGCCTCAGATCCAGATTATTAGGGGCTGTTTTGCCCGTGTTAAACCAGACAGGCTGCAGGTTTTACTTGTGCCCCCGCACGCTTTAATTTGTACTTCTGCCGAGCGAAGTTTATTTGAGGACATTTAACTAATTGTTGTAATTTGGTGCGCGCATGTGGCTACACCTGTTTCACCCAGTGTGGGACGCAAAGCATCACGGGAGCAAGGGTGCTGCACTTTATTAGTGCGCTGCATTGTTGTCGTAACTGGCAGACTTCTAGTCAATCCTTCTGGAGAATATGGACTACATCGCTTAAACATGATACTTTTGTATCACGTGTGCTCAGTTTGTGGAGGTAGCTATGCTAACTTAAGAGGCCATAATAGTCTTGCTAACCACAGGCTGACTGTTGACTTGGAGATGGCCTAAAGATGAAACCTGTAGAAATACCAAATACCAGTCATGCGTGAGGCTTTGTATCGGACATATTCATATTCAGTTTATGTTGACGAGTAAATCAATCAGTTTTATCATGATATATGTTTTAGTTAACATCTGGATCAGCAGCAGCTGAGGTCTGTCCCTCTCTCCTCTCTCCGTCCACTCGCTGCTGAGGATGAACTTCGCATTGAAAGCTAAACTTAGCGCCAAAGGTCTGGACTTGGCAGCTTGCAGTGTCAACTTTCACTTCTGTGCTACGGGTCTATTTTAAGTCCAGTGGAGGCGCCCTGGTCTTACTACACTTGGTCACAAGTTGGTACCACACGTGTGCACGTCTACTAAACGCGCTGTGTGCATGCAAGCGTTGTTTAAATGGTTTATTTCTTTGGAGCTCTTGAGTTTGTGTGAATCTAGTGCCTGCGATGGCTCCGAAGAAGGTTAGTCAGATATACAGACAGCATAATGTATATCATGGATACTGGAAATGTTATGTAACAGCCAGAGCTCACTGACTACATGTCTTCATTTCAGGGAAAAGGGGACTCACCCAAGGTCCCACCCATCATCGGAAGATTTGGGACTTCTTTGAAAATCGGCGTGGTCGGCTTGCCTAATGTTGGGTGAGTAAAGGTATTGTTTATGAACCAAATGGTCACATCATGCATAAAGCTTGAATGGGTTGTATCTCTCTGGATATAAATAGATATGGAGTGTAGTGTATTCTACATTGAGTGGTCAAATAAAAGGCAACGTGAATGTCTGAGTGTAAAACATGAACAGAAACTTGTATTTCCAAATGTACCTGCCTCTCTGCTCCCCTCAGAAAGCAGGCTGTCCATGCCTGCTCCTCCCTGTGTACACTCCCTGTCTGTCATAAACATATAGAGTCTAGACCTAACATGCTTGTTGCTTCACTTTTATGACACTGCTTCATTGATCAGTCATCCAGCCCTATTGTCTCAGCTTCAAGAATATACTTTAATGTCGCATAGTGGCATATTAACTATTGAACAACTCAATCACACTAATATTATGATTGGTGATGGAGAATCAGTCAAGGGTGATTCATGCAATCCTCCCACAGTTTATTTCATATATGATAGATCATTATTATTTCATCATGGTTTGTCTTGGCGTTATTTCGTTACTATTTCTAAAAGAAGACACCAACTACTAGTATACCTGAAAAAATACACCAACTTTATGAGGAGGGGAACTAAACTTTCCTTTATGACTAAACATTACACATATTAAAATTTTTGAATGTGACTAAAGTAACACACCCACAGACAGGACTTCTACCTCTATAACCTTTACTTCAAAGGTAATTTCTCCAAAAAAAACAAAGGATATTTGTCACATTACTTGTTATAAGAACAAGTAATATGACAAATAATTTAGTTACTCACTAGAGGTGCAACGGTTCATCACTGATCCGTGATCCGTTCGGTTCAACGTCTTCGGTTCGGTACAGACGTGATCCGCGGTTTGATTTATGAAAAAAAAGTTGTGCGCACGTTGTTCAGTCCACACACAGCGCGGTCATTGCGAGCGGAGGAACGGAGATGCTTGAAAGCCACGCGTCATTTAAATCCCCAGTATGAGAGCATTTTGGCTTCACTGTAACTACACTGATAATTAATATTCGACAAAACTGTCACGATGTGTAAGCACTGTGGCACAAGAAAGACATGAGTGAAAAAAGCGTCTCAACGACCGCTTATTGTCGCGGCATTTAAGCAGCTCCTTTACGCACAGTCAGACCGGGCTAAAGTCAACTCTCCCGCGCATCCTCAGCTGCGCTCACGACTGACGCTTGGACGTCCCGCGGAATCTATAATAGATCCATGAGCGGAACCGCTCACTTCATCACCGCAGACTGGGAGATGAAAAGTCTGGCGCTGAAGACACGCCCCCTCTACGACAGTCACACAGTCACACAGCGCAGGTACTGACACAAGCAGCGGAGGAATGGAAGACAAAGGCCCAGTACTAATATTCCAGTCACAACTGATAATGCCAAAAATTAAATAAATGCAGTGAATGAGGCTGGGCCCAGAATGGACCCCCTCCTTGGGAGAATCAGGAAGGTGGTGTAATATATGAGGGTAAATATCCTCATAAAGTGCCTTCTTATGTTGCACTTTGTGTTGTTTTTCATTAATTATGTTAAATAGACATAATTGGATGGATGGAATATTCCATCCATCCATCCATCCATTTCCTTCCCCTTAATTCATTTCTAGGTCAGGGGGGGCAGTCAGAGCAGGTGCCGAGTCCACATGAGCTGTGTTTATTAAAAAGACAACACTTTTTTTTTGAAAAATGAACCGAAAAATGAACCGAACCGTGGCCTCTGAACCGAGGTACGAACCGAACCGTGATTTTTTCAAACCGTTGCACCCCTATTACTCACTCATGGTAGTAACTAAACATAGTAATATAAGTGTTTTGTGTAGTATTATGAACCTACACGAATGAAAGTGGTAA